GTTTGTTGTTGGCTTGGACGAATGGTGACGTTTTGCAATTTTGTTGGTGATCTGAGGGTGATTTCAGTGGATCTGCTGGTTTACCGGATCAAGGGATGGAGTCCGAAGTGGGGACCGGTGTTGGGAGTGAACTTCGAGATCTCTCAGAGAGAATCTGGTGGACGGTCGTAGCCTTTTCCCCGTTTAAAGTCTTTGAATCACTTAAAACACAGACCTTCCATGCGTTACTAGTTGCACAACGCTTGAAATTGCTAACTTGGAACTGTGTGCTAGGATGCCACAACTCCACCGTTTTCGCAATTTAAACCATATTATAGTGGCGTGTGCCAGTTTTTTTAAAATTTTATCCTTTTTTTTTTAAAATCCCGCATGGTAATTTTACCACGTGGTTTAACCCGCACTGAATCCTGCGCACCTGTTGTAACTGTTAATTAAGTCTGCATTTTGCCTGTAATTAGCTTACACCAGTGCTGTGGAATTTGTAATATTCCAGACACACCAATGAAGGTAAAACGAATTTTGGAGAAGAAAAGGAGACTAGTCCCGGTTGGCCGGTCAGTTATCAAAGCAAGTGGACTACGTGATTAATGTGCGCTGTTAATAGCGCGTGGCCGTGCTCGCGTTTATTTTTAGCACTTGGCGGCATCGTCTTTTTCCGGTCACAAATGATCTCGAGGTGTGCGAGTGTGTGTGTGTGTAGGGGGAGCATCTGCACACATCGGTACATCGGTGGACGGGATGCGATTTGTACCGAAAGACGTCGCTGTGATGTGTCTTCATGTAGAACCTGCGCGGTGTCTGCACAACTTCCTACAACGCAAAATCCTATTGGTTCATTTGCACCAATCAATCGTGTGCAATCACCACTCATGTTTCCTATTGGAATGAGTGGGATGCGATTTGTACCGAAAGACGTCGCTGTGATGTGTCTTCATGCAGAACTTGCGCGGTGTTTGCACAACTTCCTACAACGCAAAATCCCATTGGTTCATTTGCACCAATCAATAGTGTGCAACCACCACTCATGTTTCCTATTGGTTCAAGAACAGCAAAGTCGATTGACATTTGACGTTCTTCAACCCACCAATCAGGGATAAGTAGATGCTTAATTCGAGGTCCACGTTTTCGTCTGCTCATCCTGACCAATATTTTTCGACGCAGCAGCTGATCGTCAGTGTAGCACATTTTTGGTATTTGGATTATTTTAATTTTGGAGTTAACTCAGTCGAACGAAAATTGTAACTTTGGTTGTAGGATTGCGGGTGACTTTTGAGGTGTCGGAGCCAAATTTTCAGAATCCTTGAAGTCTAATCGGGCCGTGTATCGAGTAAAATGTGGTATTTATTCCATCCTTAAAACAACACAATTTCGTTGACGGTTTTTCTTGAGATAAACGACTGTTTTAGGCGGTCAGTCGCGTCTTAATCGCTCTCGGGCTGTAGTCGGCATCAGGGAGACATGCTACTTAATTGTGTTAGTAGGCAGGGCCTACACGGGATCACATTTAAAGTGGCTGCTATGTTGCCGAAACAGGCATATGTGAATCCACCCGCAAGCCCGCGATTTCTGGTTAGCTTCGACCAATTAGCTCATTAGATGGCATCCAAACGTGCCTTCAGCAAATCTCAAGGATCTTTGACGTTGTTTTTAGTCAACCAAGGCTTTGTTTTGATCGAATTAACTTCGTTTTAGGGAGAATTTGGAATTAGTTTGTGAACTTGGCGACAAACCAGCTGAAGGTCGGGCCTATGGAAACCTCGGCAACACTCACTACCTCCTTGGCAACTTCCAAGAAGCCGCCGACTTTCATAAAAAGGTAAGTCAACAGTTAATCCACCTCAATCGCTCATCGACTTCCATTCAGTTACTTTTAGGCCTTTGTTGTGTGTTACAGGCCGGTTTTGCCGTTAGGTAAGCTGCCGCGTCAACACAGAGCTTTTCTGCCCAGTAATCCGCTAACATGATTGCTACTGTCACCGTGTCAGTAGAGTGATTATCTTCTGTTTCCATTTGTTTTTTAGCGACTGCAAATCGCCAAAGAGTTTGGCGACCTGCGTGCCCAACGCCGAGCCTACAGCAACCTCGGCAATGCGTACATCTTTCTCGCGGAATTTTCGGCTGCCGCACGCAGCTACAAGTAGGTGTGACGTGCTTATTACTTCGCTTGCTGCGTCGTCAGGGCTGCAAACGCCAGTGTTGTGCTGTTTCAGGCACGCGTTGAACATTGCGCGTCAACTGGGCGACAAGATGCTGCAGGCGCAGGCGTGCTTTAGCCTGGGCAACAGTTGCACCCTCCTGCGCGACTACTCCGCAGCCGTGGTCTACTACCTGCGACACCTCCACGCCGCCTGGGAGGCCGGAGACAGGGTGGGCGAGGGCAGGGGTCACTGGTCGCTTGCCAACGTCTACGCAGCCCTCGGCGACTACCAGCGTGCCCTGCGAAGCAGCCTCCGCCACCGGAAGATCTCGAAGGAGGTAGGCGTCTGCCTGAACGCGACTGTGTCGCCCCGGTCAACTAGTTCTTTTCTTTGCCTTCGTCTAGCTCAACGACGAGATCGGCCTGTTGGCAGCCGACCTGATGGTGTGCGAGTTGCGTCGCATCATCGCCGACAGCCAGGCCTCCTCCCACACCTCCACGCACAACCTCCAGGCGGCCGCGGAGGCGAGGGCTCTGGAACAGGTCCTTCTTTTCGACGCCGACAACGCCGCGCAGCACCAGGCCCTGACGGTCACTGGACACACCACCCCACCCCCCGCGGTCGCCGCCGCCGCCACCACCACCCAACCTGCGGACGAAGACGCGTCGGTGGAGGAGCTGAGCGAGAGGGAGCTGGATGCGGAGTTGTCGATCGCCACGAGTGCTGCGCTGCAAGTGCGCAGACAGTTCAACTCGGGCAGCGAGGAGGGCGGCAGTGGGGCGGAGCTCTTGTCTCTCGGCGAGGACAACGATTTCATTGTGGTCTCAACTGGCGACGGGGAGGAACACCCGAGTGACGGTGAGTGCCGGTCGCCAAGTTCCAGCCAATCAGGTGTCACTGGCACTCATGCTCTAGTATCGCGCAAGACCAATCGTAGGTGCGAGGCAATTAGACCGCCACTGATTGGCACTTGTTGAGGTCACGGCCTTTCGTTGAGGCTTATAAAGGCAAGGTCCTCAGTGCTTGCATTTGTTAATTAACCGGTCAGTTCGCTTAAGGTCACACTTGATTAAACACTCTACGCTTTCCCTTAATTAATGATGGGAACTGTTTCGTGCGTTATAACTATCCCTTCCAAGTAGTCTTCTGCATTAAATTTACAATTGACGACTGTTTCCCTCCGTGATAGCAGCCATGGTGCCAGGGGAGACGTCTCACCAACAGGGCAGCCAATCAAATCACACTGCCGACCCGACGAACTCCGCCGACTCCAGCGAGTTGCTCTTTGACCTCCTCTTCAAGTCGCAGGCCCATCGTATGAACGACCAGCGCTGCGACCTTAATGCCGTCGCGACAAACAGCAATAATGACAACGGCAACAACGCCGCTGCCGCGTCAGGCGATTCAGTGAACGGGGAAAACGACTCCTTCGCAGATCTTCTCATCAGTTTACAGGTGAGTTCAGAACGTGGGGTTTGAGAGTCGCGGACGCGCGACTGCGTAGTCCATTTCGCAAAGCACATTTGTGCCTGTGATGGGGATGAACCATTTTCTCAGGGTGCACGAATGAACGACCAGCGGGCGGATTTTCCGGGTCTGATTAGAACGAACCCCACGTCGAGCCCCACCACAAGACATCCTCCGACGTCTGCGGCAACAACAACAACCTCGTCCTCCACAGCTGTTCGCAGTCCCAGAACCAACAGGGTTGGGGAGAACGCCGGCAGCAGCAGCAACAACAACGCCATCGGTCCCGTCTCACGAATTCGCAGCGCAAGCGATGGCCTGGCGGAACCAGCCCCTCCTTCGGCGGGCGACGAACTGGACCCTGGGGAAGACTTCTTCGACATGATTCTCTTCCTTCAGGTAAGTCGACACGCCGGGTGGTATTCCTCGCAGCCGTTTTGCGTGTACTTGACTTTTTATCGCGTCTTTTTAAGCAAAAAACCCGTATCAACGACCAGCGCACACTCCTCGCTCCGCCCAGACCACAGATGCACTGCAATCGTGACGGTGATAGCCAGAGCGACACCAACAGCGTTCCGACACAGACCAACGCCTCTTCGGGGCGACACACTCCACACCGCCTCCTTCGTGTCTTGTCGGTGCCCGGAGGGAAACGGCGCAGAGGTGCCGGCGGAGGAAACAGCTCCAAGGCCGCGGCGTGATCGCGCCTCGTGTCTCTGTGTGTACATATACGTGTTCGGTGGGCTACTGTGTTCCGATTCCTGTGGTTGTGCGTCAAAAACTCATCTCCTCTTACTCGCAAACGCTTCTCTCTGCCCGCTTTCCCTATTTGCTGCAAATAAAGTCGATAGGGCACCTCGTATGCCTGACTTATTTCAGAAAGACTGTTTGGCTGTGTCGATGTACTCCAATGTCTTTAACTGGGTACCTAGTTGTTTCCTCTACTGACACAACAAGTGCGCAGTCAGCTCCATTTCCGAAATTCAACAAGATTGATGGCTGTCATGTTTTCTGGCGGCCCCACAGCTAAGGATCCTAGAGGTGGGACTGCCGAACGATCACACCGGTGAAACTGAAATGCGGTGGAACGGATGACGCGACCGTTAGGATCCTCACTTTTGTCCATGGGAACAACTACGATTTAGTAACTACTGTTAACATAGTTAGGGACAGCTGCGACTAGCTTGTTTCAGTTGCACGCATTGCATTCTGTTTCCTAATGAGATTATGTGGCAGTTGTCACCGGTGTGCGCGACAGGCCACAAAGTGGTAATTGAGCGACTCAGTGTGTGGTCAACGTAACGATAACAGAGGTTCGTGCAAGTTAGAAGCCAGAACAAATGCCCTAAGGAATTGAGCCAGCACATTACGAGGAGTCAAGTGGCTTAACACCATGAAAGAGAAACCTTTACACAAAACTGAAATAACTTCGGACTTCAAACACCTTAAAGAATACAACGTGAGAAACTGGGAGGCGTTGAAATTCAAGAGTAAATATAATTGTCAAAATTTGTTAGGCTCCAGAAAACAAACCGTTGGCCCAAAGGACGGAAATAGACACACCACGAGGTTCCAGATAGGAAAAGTAACCATTGTACTCTGTCTCATACATAGGCGAGTATAAATTGAATGGGTAGGAAAAAGGCCGGATTTACAGTACTAGGGGGACAATTAAAGCGGCGGAAGTTAAATGACAACGTTGAAAACAATGAAACCAGGAGCAAGGAGAAGTGAAAGTTTTGCCGATAGCACCCACAAGTTCTCTTTATACACACTCGGGTGATTGAGGTAGTTAGACTATTCGATCAATTTCTTGGACTTGAAGTAATTTCGGAGGTAAATCACTTGCCAGATGGCGAGAGCGATAAGGCAGATTATGGAAAACATTGAAAAGTAGAGAACACGACCGTGCGTAGAGGCTAAAATAAAAAAATGATTAAAATGAAATGGAGAGCTTGAACTTTGTGGCACTTAGCAGAAATGAGAGATTGGTGATGTTAAGTACATACGCAATAAGTTTCAACTGTGACACCACAAGTATCAAGCTTCAATGGATGTCTACTAGTTAGATTACGCAAAGTAGCACATTATGAGAAATGCAATAATTGCACATCGAATTTTTACAAGATATTTAAATACAAATAGCGGGAAAACCCAACATTTATTCATTGAAAATGTACTAACCGTTAATGTTGCGCATTGCGTCAGCCCTCGTGTGCATGGAGACGAAATCACGAACAATGGAATCAGTCAAATACTCAATCTTTTTTAATTCTGCCTCAACTGGTTTCAAGTTTTCAGCTTGCGCAATAGCATCAAAGTTTTTGGCCTCATCTCCCTGTTTGATGTCCACATACACCTCGTGGGTATCAACCAGCCCACTTGCGCCAGTACAACGGAAGCACACGTCAAAGGAGTCCTCAACCTCGGAGGAAAACGTAAACTTTCCAGACGTCGCATCAGACTTTTGGAAAAATGTATGCCCCTTGCTGTCCTTCACCTCGATCGACACTTGGCTGGATGGTCCCTCGGAAATTTTGTAATTACCGATGACGATTTCATCTTTATCCATTTCATCATGAATACACCTGGTTTGCCCTGTTTTTATTTCAAAACTTAACCCGGAGACAATTACTGGGTTAAATAAAGACACTTGAAGAAACAGGCCAAAAACAACAAACCAACTCATGACACGCAACCACAATTACGTTTACCAAACAAATTAAATGTGGCGCCTTCACTATCAAACCAATTTTAATCCATGCAATTTAGTTTAAAGTTGGCAATGCTTAATAAGTAGCCATAGATTGACCCTTTTGCCTAGTTCTCCAAAAAAATATCTGTGAAGTTTTCTATACAATACAGAACACGCACTTTTTGACACCCTCAAAAGTGAATTTTGTCAGTGAAGCTGTTGATGGGATTTTGGTTCGGCTATATTAAATTGTCCAATGCACCCAATTACATTATGATTATCTCTAATTGTGCACATTAAGGGTAGGATAAATCAAAGGGGTAGAATCGGGGATAAACACCCATTGCGGTGTGTGAGCAGACGGCTTTGCTTGATCAAATTAATCATTGTAAAAGCGAGGTTGGTGTTGATTATATTATGGTTAATCAAAGTAAAATAGCATGATTTGCTACATACCCCATTACCCATCCAAGTAAATGAACATTGTGCCATTGCAGTTAAAACTGTTGACTCTTTACTCTTGAGTGTGGTACCGGCCAGACCATCGAACATTGAGCATTGTGTAGACTATCTGCTTATTGTCGGGAAAGACAAAGTTTGCTGGCTGAGACTAGTTATGAGCTGCTTGCCTGCTATATTTTAATTGTGCTTACAGTGAAAAAGCGTCTTTTCGAGCGAAATGGTCGACACAGGAAAAAAAGGTAACGAATGACGGTGCAATTATCTCACATTGCGTCAGTTATAATTCATAAGACAAAGGAACTTTCTCTGTCTGCATGCCTTGGATAATTGGCTCATTCGTGCCTAATGAATGAAACATTTCGATACAAGCCTGGCTAAAGGTAGCGTCTTGATATCAGCTATCCGTTGACTAGGATATACAAGATCGCGAAGGGCTAGCAACGCTAAAGAACAAAAACGATTTAACGCCGTTTGAAATAAACAAACAATGGTTAGTGTATATATAAAGTCAAATAAGCCTGACATTTCCATATCGAATGGCTTAGAGATCGCAATAACCTCGAAAAAACGTGAGACCTGATGTATGCGTAAACTATGTTCGATTAATAAAGTGAAGCGGCTACATTTAAGTCAGCAACATCGATAAGGCAAAAGCCAGTTGGAAACTGTTTGACTAACTTCTCGTGAATCAGTAGTCGCAAGAGATTTAGCACTAACCTACAACCTTCTAGTAAACAGCCCGTAACTATCCAAGAAGATGGAAGAGACATGGTGACATGCAGCACGACCGATTATTTGTATCACACCAGCCAAGTGGCTTTGTGGGCGTATGAGTACGCGTGCGTAACAGTCGAATGCTGACAGAGGCAGATAACAAAAGGGATGAATCATTGGTCCACTCGGGCCTCATGCACGCATCACTCACGCGAGGTGGCTGTCAGTCCACTAAAAATCGTTCAGCGATCGCATTGTTATCACATATAAATGGTTTGAAGCTGGAATCGATTGTTGAAAGCATTCGCTGAGTTAATATTTAAATTCAATGACTGCATGATAGATCGGCCTACTGAACATTAACACCATTGAGCTTCACAAACACGCACTGGGAAAAAGTAAGTGGCTCCTCTTACATTGGCCAAGATTCGTCGGTTTGCTTAGAATAAACAGGATTCATATATCAGATGTGCGAAAAATTTGTTTAACAATTTAGTCACACCTGGAAAATTTTATTACTGAGAACTTGGGAGAATTTAGTTTTATAAGCAGCAGAGAAATGCAAAAACAATTTTTTAAAATCTTCTGTAGAAAAACCCAGTTTTTTTACACTTTGATATTTAATGATGCTACACCTATTGCATATGGCCATAGATGCCTCTTCCCTATAATTACTAAAATGACTAATAACGAAATCACTTGTCGCAATAGTAATATAAATTGTCTGTACTAGCAAATAATAAGCATTTTACTAATAATGCCTTTAAATATTGCATAATCACTATTTTTCTTTTTTTGCATCAATATTAGTAATGGCCTATAATCAGCGATTTTTCGAATACCGTCGCTGATTGCCTTCTCTTTTTGGTTTCATGACATGACTTCTCGTGCTAACGAAGAAGAAATATCATTTCTTCGAACGGTAATTTAATTTTTGTTGATAATGAAAAATTGTAGGATGATTTCATTTGCCTTAGCTGCCTTTCACATGGACTCTCTGAAAGGTTGTGCTTGGGTGCGGAAGGCTTTGGCAACCGAATGTGTTCGCTTGAAAGCATTGCAAGAGAAGTAGGTCAATATTTTTTTCATTAATTTAATAATTACTAATCCTTCGCTCGCAAAAACCATCATCTAAAATGAATGTAATGTGTAAATACTCATGTAAATATTTTGCGGTTAATCAGGATTGGTTTGTGAAGTTTAAAATTCTGGTCTTTTTTCCTTTTTTTGCAATATAATATTATGATTGTATTCTGCCCTAAGTAGTACCGCCAACTTGCTACCTCGGTTTATCGTATTTGTTCTTGAAAATTTTACGGTTTTTTGAGGATATTCTAGATGGAATCACATTTTCGGTTTATGTGGGCTTATTTCTGTTAGTAGTTCACTGGGTTTGTAATAAATTACGTGGCTTAGATTTATCTTAAGGCATTTTAATGAAGAAAGTTTCTTCAGACCAATGGAACTGATAAAAATGCACGTAACTTTTTCTGGAAATGCTTTGACAAACGGACGTGGAGACTCGTCAACCAAACATTTCACGATTTAGTATTTAAATGTTAAACCTGGGATTTCATTTATTTTGTTTAATTTATATTTAATTAAACCAAATTATTTGCATCAGTTTGTTTTGTAATTGAGATAGCAGTTGTTATAGCCATTTTACGAGAAAAACAAAACCTAGATAACAGGACGTGTATACCCAATCCTTATATTCTCGAACTTGAAAAATTATATTTTTTTCAGGTGCCTCCGGCCAACATGTCACCATGCATTTTCATTCTGGAGCAGGCATTATCAGCGCGTGCACTTCAAGAAATGCTCTCCAGCAAAAACGAATTATCTGATGTGAGCTTAAGTTTGGCTTTGATGCGTTTCGTCTTCTCAAATGTTTGAAATTATTGTGATATTTACCGCAAATGACTAAGCATTTAGTATCTTGATAGAAACATGGCGGATTCATTTACACATGAAATAGTTTGGTTGTTTGATTCAACCGAACTTAAAATGAATTCTGTTCATTAAACTTTTTAGAGTCGGACATCCGGCCATAGAACCCTTCTCTACGGACATGCTATTCGACTGAAGCACCGCAACAGCAGCATGGTATTTTTTTAATTGCTGTTTTGTTGTGCGCTTTCAGCAAAATCAGGACCTCCAACCTGATGTTGAATTTGTCCTTTGTAGTATCTTGCTTGCCTTTCAACCAGCTCGACTGAAGACAAACTGGCATTTGACGTAGGCCTAGAACGTGAAGCAAATAGTAAGTTTATCATAAATTACAGATGAAAATAAAGGATATTTAAGCCAATTCGAATGAGCCGTGTGTTCTGTTAACTGTTGCGTCATGTAATCTGTTTGTCAGACAATGTTTCTCACAAACGATTCTATAAGTCTTGATATTGTCCTGATATCGTAAAAAACATCCGCAGGATAAAATTGTAAAGGTTTTGGGACGAAATGCTGGTTTTTGCCCACTTTCTTTTAATGTATGAGCTTCAACGAACCCATTCAAAAGGGATCGATGCAGCCATCTTACGGTGGAGGCTAGAAATTTGATTTAACGAACTGACATACTAATAAGCATGAATTAAGTACGTCACATTAGTCTTGATATAACGTACCAGATGTCCCCTTGACTTTTGTTTGATGAGATTGCCATTGGCTGGCAGCATCCCTGATTCTCTGTTTTCCCCTCCAGCCGAGGCGTGCTGGTGGACCATTCATCCGGCCTCAAAACAACGTTCTGTCGGCGAAAAAGTTCGCATCGGTGACGACCTCATTCTAGTCAGCGTTTCCTCCGAACGATACTTGGTAGGTAACTTTTGCTTAGAATCTCTATGGCGTCCATCGCTTTTCGTGGAAGCAATCCATGGAAGTGTGTGGCATTTAACATTTTTGTTGAACTAAATACAATACGGGGGATAGAAAGGTGCCAATTCGACTAATGATCTTCTACTCTAGAATTTGATATAAATTGCACATGCTACTTATTACGATGCGAGTAAATTTGCGCAGGGGTTCAGCTCTGAGTTCGTTATCGGAAATCCAATGCCAGGGCCTCTTTAGGTAATTTGTGATATTGTCCTAGAGCTGATGAATATAACGAAGGTTAACTAAGCTTAGGGCTTATTGGTCCGCGTGTTTTATCGAGGCAAAGTGACCTTGAAATAGCAAAATAGGGTAATTTTGGAATGTACATGGGAATGACAGGGTGTCTTTATGGGTCCATCTCCCATGTTATGTGCACCCAATTTGCAAGAGTGATTACCACATTTGGTGAAGACTTATTGCCAAATGAAGCTAATTTTCGTGGTATTCCCACCTGTTGGCATGTTTTCAGTGTCACGTAAAGATGGCGTACTGGTCGTAGTCGAAAAGCAGGTGGCCAGATCCTGTGTCTGTTTCCCCCTTTTCCACCCGCCAGCGCATCATCGATTGGCTCTGTGCGCGTGTGCGCGCGTTCGCCCAACACGCCATGTGTGTGCTACTTGCGCGCAAGCGCTGACGCCGAACGCCGAACTGCCATATCGATCTTCCAATGTCGACGCGCTCCGCGCGCGCTGCGCAGCCTGGACGCCAAGGTTGGGAAAAAAAGGAGTGACTACACGATCATAATTACAATTTAATATCTGCCACTACGTAAAATGCGTTTCAACTCGATACTACTTATATTTAATTGGTGAAAGCTCTATTCAGCACCACGAATCAATAAGTCAGATATGATTGCGTGAACTGACTGTTTAACTTGGTGAGATAGCGTCCGAATATAAATATTCGATATCTTAGCCAGCACTGACAAGTCTGTAATAATTACTTGAATTTCCGACTAGTCCGTCTATCTTATGAAATTTGAAGAGCAATTCACTAGGCTGCATCACTTAACGCCAGAGTTAGCTAGAAGTAGGGGCAATCAGTGTTATTGATTGGTCCGTATTTCCACAACACACAAATTTTCCAAAAACTCAGCGATTGTCCCGAGTTTTGCAGTTTTATGCAGAGCCTGGGAAGAGTAACAGGGTAGTTCGAAAGTTGACCGTTCAAATGACAACATTTATTGATTTTCATTATTATCTCAAGCGCTCATTTAAAAAACCACATAAAACACAATTTGTTTAGGTGTGTAAAATGTCTACCGCGCTCTTCAGTGCGTGTTGAAGCTCCATGAAGAACAGGCTTCGTGGAGTTTAGGAGCAAAAGAATCCAACATCTTTACTTGATGGTAGTTTAACGAGTTCTACATAAAATCACGTGTTTTTCGGTTGACAGTTGTAAATTATTTGTCTCTAGCATACCTGAGGCACAATTTTCTGTCCGTTAAGATACCTAACAACTGCAAATTTCCGACGCACAAGGTATTCAACTTGATCTGCTAATCATTTAGGCTGACAGACGTGGCCGATCAAACAATTGATCCTTTAAAAGCTTAAATAGCAGCTAGTGACCTTAAAAATGGGTGTGTATTGGCGGCTCAGTTGCCTGTGACTCTCTCTGCACTTTTCACCATCTTCTCAGGGGTTAATTATTGTTTTTATGTTGGAAAAGACAGACCCTGGACGGCGTGGTTGACCTTTGACCTGAAACAGAATTGGCCTCATCTTAACCATTCCCTCAAGTTCCATAGGCGGTGATTGTCAAAACTAAAGTACATTTAAAAATCCTCTTTGAAGGGAGCCTTCCACAAACGTCACATTCATCCAAAGCAAATCTTTGTCAAATATATTCGAACAGTCGCCTCTGTTTGTGAATCTTTGTAGCACGTCTACGGCGACTCCTTTTCTTCGTCTGGAGTTATCGCGAGTTTTCAGCAGACACTTTGGACGGTCATCCCTGTTTCCAGTGGAGTGGTCCGACAAAAGTCTCTACGTGAGTTCTCTCCACCTAATCAACTCAACGTTCACTGCATTATTAAACCGAAAAACTTAAATTCCAAACCAAACAAGCGTCCTAGCTACGCTAATCCTAATCGTAACTGCAAAAAACAGAAAACACTGAATAACAGAGAAGAACAACACATCTCCTCCTCCAATTCTGATCTTGTAATGCCGACAAATCTGGTACAGTCGAGGCAACCATTGCGCAGCATTACTGGTCATCCAGATCGTGTGACTCATTTATACACCGAATTGGTTGGTTTTGAATTCCCAGAAAATGCGTCATCTGCGTGGAAAATTCTTTCCTACAATGATTCTGTACGATCGGCAAGATTTAACAGGTGGTGGCGTGGCGCGCGACATTTTGTCTGCCTGACCAAAATTAGCACACAAGTCACGCATGCAGAATCGCTAATTTTTCTTCCTCAACTGAGGGGTTTAATTAAAAGATGTGTCTACACGTCACTTCATTTAAACCTTACCCATGCGTTCTAGTTTGATTTCGCCATTGAATGCAATAATATCCGAGTTTTGTTTAAATGCGCATTCCATTATCGGTTTTCGCGGGGTCTGAGTTTTCGAGCAAGGTAATGCTTTATCACGTATTAATGTTTTCCAAGGCCATCCACCTAACAGATCTCCATTTTTATGTATTTCCTCGAAGTGTAGCCTCTTTGATGGCCAAAAGTGGCCATGTACTATTGCTAGAGAAGGTCAGTCACCATCGGTGTCATCTGCGGCGGCTACTTAATTAAAACGAACCCTCTTAAAAACTTGATCTATCCTTGCATTGACCTGACAACATCTGTATGAAAACTGACGTAAAGCAGAAACTCTAAACCAGAATTGGGAGAAATCGAATCGCCCATTGGTCACGGCGTCATGATTCAATTGGCTAGTTATGAGAACGGGAGGCACAATCAGCTTATCCATAATGGCCTTGAAATCTCGCAGATTGTGACTGATTCGATACAGCTGGCAGGCCAATATGCCCGTGGTCTGCGCATTCCTCACAATAATCAGATTTACAAAGAAGCGGTTTTGATTTGTAGCCCTTAGTTTAGCGTGAATTTTAAAGTGATGAAGGGAATCATTCTGACGTATTCTATTCTCTTACTTCAGTGGAAGCAAAAAATATTCTGAAGCCCACAATGGAGTAGGCTTAGCTTGTGGTGTTGACTGCTTAAAAGAGCGTTACATTCTACTCAACCAATAAGAGTTGGTGATGACAAATCGAAGACCTGATTGGTTATGTAGGTGTACGAGAATTGGCTAAATGCGTAAAAACAACTGAAAATAATTTATCATGGCTTGGAATTTTTAAGATCCATGAAGCCTGAATTCCAGGTTAATTAAAAAGCAATTGACCATATATAACGAGTCTGCGTTCGCGATGTTCATCTCAAACGCAGTCAAACTCTGCCATTGTTTGAACCAGTGTGATGGTGATCAAATGTACCCAGTTTGCATTGTGATCTTCGATTTGTGAAATTATTTAATGAAAAAAAAACGAATAAAGTGCGAGAAACAGATAGGTATGTAAGTGATGAGAGGCAAGCCGATGGATAGGCAAGGTTAATATGCCTTCATGTGCAAGGAAATGTAACCTAATTCTTGTTTTAATTGACGCTAGTTTCGTTTTTAAAACACTATTGACGAAACAACTTTAGAGACTACCATATGAGGTGATAATTTTCGACATTCAAAATATTCCTTAATTGATCTTGTGAATCTCACCAGTCTGGTTTAAACCGCTTAAGATGTGTGGTTGGCAAATTCGCATATATTTTTCGTCTCTCTGTTCTGTGGTGAGCCAAAAAATTATTTTCCTTTTGCTACAAACTTGCCCTTTTCTGTGATCTAGACATGGCCTTTGGTGGTGATGTTATTCGTCTCTTCCACGGCGACGAATGTCTCACCATTCAGGCAGCTGATGAGTCAGAAGAAGGTCAATTGGCTACCAGTGTCACTGCATCGCCACCCGAGTAAGTCTCAGTTTTGCTACTTAAATGGCATTTCAGTAGGACCTCACTTTTCTTTTCCTGTTGGGTTCGAATTCTGTTGGGAGTGATATAACATCCAGCCACGACGATGCTTTTAGTATGTGTGTGTGTGTGTGTGCCTGAACGTACGCCCTGTCATCGTCACCCGAATAAAATGCAAAACACCTTACGCTGAACAGTAATTGAAGATTCGGCAAACCCTTGAACGTTTTCGAGCCATTCCAATGTATCCAAGTCATCAACAAACATCGTTTTTTGTTTGAAGAGGCTTGCCTGAAACCCAGTTCATTCATTTAGCGTTTTACCAATGCCGTTGTCTAGCCTCGTAACAGTCTGGTGATAAAATGTCATTGTTAATTACTTGGCGCAGTTGCGATTCATCGAACCATCCATGAATTTGCCCCGATACACCCAATACTTTCCCACTTATTTCAGTGATTTGGTTATGTAAAATCCACTTCTATTCCCATAGATTTCTGTTCGTTTTAAAATACAGTCCATTTACAACAAAAGCCCAAACCACCAGGGTTTCTGTTAGATGATATTGGTAGTTCGGTTCCTGAGAGCCCATATGTCGATGACCAAGTGTCTATCAAAATGCGTGAAATACTGTGCAAATAAGTTGACGTTTTCGCAAAGTACCTCAAAGTAGCCACATTAGTGCCTATTGGCCATCCCGATTAATTCATTACTTTGAACTAACCAACCAGAATTGGAGCTGTGCCGGATTGGCTAGTCAATCGACCACTTGGCTTGCAATGCCCGCCTTTTCATTTAACATTGTTTAAGATGATATTTCTAAATACTTCGGGTACTACATTAGCGTTTTCGTAATCTTTGGCCTGCTTTAATTTGCGGCAGAAATCTTGTAAGCGGAAGCGGCTTTTGAGCAAATTGAGAGGTATTGTATTCAGTTTAATGTCCACACCGAAGCAAATCCGGATGTGGTGGAAAATGGGATTTCTATCAGTCGTTCGCGTCTATTGGTGGGTTTATTGATGCCGTCTGATCCATAGCTATTCAGTTCCAGCTTAACACCATTTAGTCCAACTCCCACATGTGTTGTGACTCGAATCAGCAACCACCTGTTGATGTTTCGCCAGAGTTTGCCGTAGTGGTTTAATATTTAGCACTACCTTACAACTCTCTAGTTAACATCCCGTAACTACCCGAGGAAGGGGGGGAAAGAGGCGACAGAGAACACGACCGTTTATTAGTGTCACACCAACCAAGTGGCTTTGTGGGCGTATGAGTACGCGTGCGTAACAGTCGAATGCTGACAGAGGCAGATAACAAAATGGATGAATCATTGGTCCACTCGGGCCTCATGCACGCATCACTCACGCGAGGTGGCTGTCAGTCCACTACAGTGCCTCCGTGGACAGAAATACTCACAATAACAAACTATTCCCCCTCCCTTTCCTTTCAGTTACCATCAGTCGGTTATGTACCAGCTGGGTTCGGTGTCCGGTCACGCCTCCTCCCTCTGGGAGATTGAGCACACAAAGATCAGGTGGTGCGCTGGCTTCTTCTCGTGGGAGGACGCTGTACGCCTGCGTCACGTGACCACCGGTCGATATTTGGGCATCACCCCGGCTCAGGCCAGCGGCAACACCACTGCGCCCGGGCAAATCGACGTTGTGCTGCTCTCCCCCTCTGAGTCAGACGACGCCTCCACCGTCTTCTACATCAAACAGACCAAAGCAAGTCCCCGGCATGAGTCCTATTCTGGCTTTTATTTCACACCATTGTGGTTGTTGGTTGGTTCCACGGGTGGAAGGCGATGCCTACGGTAGATATGATGTTGTGTCTTGGTAGATTTTAAGCAAGTAGAGACACGTCACTGTTGAAATTCGCTTATAGAATAAGCTAACCTTCCAAATTACCATCTTGTTTTGTTGTACGGTGTATAGAAGACGTGTTTGTCGGTTTTCCGATTCCAGGAAAGCTATTCGTCGATGAAGAAGACCTCACAGCCTCTCCAGGACAGCCAACCGCTGTCACGTGTTAGTTGGACGGCTAAAATAGTTTGATTTTTCACGGTTATGTGTCCTTCACTAAATGGTGGTGTGTCGACCCAGATGATCACATTACGACCAACTGCTCTTCAAGACCGCAGCACCAGTTTGGAAGCCCAGAATCGACGGAAGCAGAAGTGGCCAAATATTAGTTACTTGGTTAAATTGACAAGAGACCAACGGTAATTTCTTTGCCACAGGACGACAAGAAGAAAGTGGAGATAGACCGCGAGCACGAGGGTATGGGGGACCCAGACGTGTGCTTGGGCGAGACACTCATCTACCTGCAGCACGCGGCTCTTGGCTGGTGGCTCTCGTACGAGTCCTACGAGACAAAGAAGCGCGGTGTTGGCAAGGTGGAGGAGAAGAAAGCAGTCCTGCTGGCCGAAGGTCACATGGACGACGTGTTCAGCTTGGTGCGCGCCCAGGAGGAGGAGTCCATTTCGGCGTCCGCGATACGTCGCTCCACCGCCGTCTTCTCCACCTTCAACCGTGGTCTCGACGACTTTGCAAACGCCAACGCCGCCAACAGCGGACCTGCGGCAGCCCCAGTCACGGCCTCTATGACCCCCATCGAGGGACCCACATTGAATCTGGACGAGGTCAATCAGTGTCTGGAGGACTTGATTGAATTCTTCGCCCAACCCGAGGCACACGAAGAACACGAAACTAAGCAATCCAAGCTTGCAGCTCTTGCTAATCGGCAAGACCTCTTCCAGGTACGTTTGACACTCGTCTTTTGCATATTGTGTGTACTTGCTAGTCAAATACACACACAGACGCAATCTCAAAGACGTCTATTCACGAATTATTGGACTGTCTGAATTGCCGAAGTGTCTAGACATGCATTGACATTCACTAGAACATCAGCCTAACAGTGGCAAACATCGAGTACCATCTAACATTAACTTGCAAATTAAGCAAGTCAGTGATAGCGTTCTTGCTGAAATTCCATTGGCCGTTCGTTGAAGCTCACTTAATTGGTAGTATTTCCTGGATTTTGACTTCCCTATTTCCAGGAGGAAGGGATGATTGGGCTGGTGTTGGAGACCATCGACAAGTTCACGGGCACCTTCCGCAGCCGCCGCGAATTCGCTCTGGCTGTTGGCGAGGAACGCGGGAACAAGTTCAGCGACCTCGGCAACTACCTGTACCTCCTTTTGGCGGCGCTGATACGCGGCAACCGCGAGAACTGCGCCCAGTTCGCGGCGCCAGCGCGTCTTGATTGGCTCTTCAATCGACTGGAACTGCAGCAGAGCTTCGCTGAGGGCGTACTCGATGCCCTCCACTGTGTTCTCACGGATTCTGACGAGGCCCTGAATGTCATCACAGCTCAGCACATCCACACGCTAATCGGACTTCTAGACAAGCAGGGTCGTGATCCCGGGGTAGGTAATTTACCGAAGCACTAGTTGAAATGTGCGTAGAGTCCAAGTAACCAGGAGTAAATTTGATTACTGTAGTGCTAACTATTGTTCATGTGTGTGTTCTATGATCGATCTTCACACCTCCATTGAGTCCTGCCGATACTAACCTCAAGGTTGACGCGTTAATTATTCACATCATATCGAATCTCCAAACCTGGATGGGTTGAAATTCAAGGGCTTATCTCTTCGTCTAGGTCCTCGAGGTGTTGTATTCCATATGCATGGGTCGGCAGGGTGGAGCAGTGCGGCTGAACCAGGACCTCATCTACGAGAGTCTCTTGCCAGATCGGGATCTCCTCCTGCAGACAAAACTCGTGGCGCAGTCTGGATCCATGCGTCCGAACGTCTTCGTTGGAATTAAGCCTGTGAGTACGGTTACTGTACAACAGCAAATTACCCTTTCAGCTGCATTTCCGACTCGAGTGACAGTCGCATTGTTGGTTTGAATGCAAAGACGTTTACTCTGGATTCTTCAGGGTGGATCCATGTATACCAAGTGGTACTTCGAGGTGTTTATTGACGCCCTGGAAACCGTCTCTCACCAACCACCTGGGATTCGGATTGGCTGGGGCAACACCGACGGTTTCACACCGCATCCCGTCGGTGGACCCGGCTGGGGTGGAATCTCCCTCGGCGATGACTTCTACAGCTTCGCTTTCGATGGACAAAACCTATGGACAGGAGGGAAGGCGAAACAGGCCCTCATTCCGTTGGGAAGCAAGCCCACTCTCGGTCACCAACATCGATCAGCTGCCCACAACGGCAGTGCCAACCTCAAGCGTGGCGACGTCATTGGCTGCCTCCTCGATTTGACCGGTCCTGTCATCCAATTCAACCTGAACGGCACACTTGTTAAAGGCTACTTCCAGGTGAGCTCATTATGCCGAACTTCCAAATCCAAGGTCACGATTTCCAATCCGTGTGTTTCATTGGTCGATGTGTCGACCAATAGCAATGAATGAAACGGTCATTTGTGTATTCTGTGCCTAAATTTAAAGTGGAGTTATTGCCGGAACTTCAACTGTAAATTGTGTGAAGGTTTACTTGGACGTGCTTCTGCTTTTGGCACAGGCATCAGTGGTTGTCTACATCAAACTGGTGAATTCAATCAGCAAGATGGACTTCTTTCGGAGCTGTGATAATGGTCTAATCCGTCAGCTAATGAATACTATTAGCCCACGGATTGTTGAGAGAATTCCTGTTGGCACTTCGGCTGTATTTCTCCATTTTAAGTGGCTTAGATAAACTTCAAAACTCGGCGCCTGGGTTGAGTACGTACTAACAGAACTCAACAAACCGAACCGTGATATCTTCTCGTTCGTCAGCATAACGAGTCGTCTTTGAATCAACCGACAACTGAGGATAAGACGGTTGGAAGAAGTTGGGATGTCGCACCAATTAAAAGTGCTGTCACGTGTCTGGTAGAGGATTGGAGGGAATTTCCTTTCACGAGTTTCTGTTTCGTAACCAACCAATGACTTTGAAGAAGTACTCTAAGCAGCTCATACAACTCTACTTTGAATTTCAAGGCACGAATATATCGATGATTTACAAATCTTGGCAGATACTCGATGTCACATGCCTATCTCCCGTCCTGGCGCCTTCAAATTACGTACGACCTCACCAAACATGAAGCACAAATCCCATTCCCAAGCATATGATCTTTACTGAACCCTGCTAATTGTCGTCTTTTAACCCGGTCGTTGCATTCCACGCCTACCTACACTTCTCAGAGCGTCTCTGTCGGTCCTGCTACGTCGTCGACTGATCTCTGTGCGTGTTCCTCCCCCACGTCACCCGTTTCATTCATCTGACCTTTCAGTCATTTGTACTTTTAGAGATTCACCCAGACAGTATTGATTGATAACTCCATTTAGTCAAACATCTTTATGCGACAAAGACAACTTCGTTAAGCTGTCTAGTAGACTGTTGTATCTCGCCCTCTCCGATTTTCGTGGATATCAGGGTAGCTTGTTCACTCAAACCACGCCGGGGCCACGGAATTAACCCTGGCCCGATTACGTTTCCCTGATACCCGTGGTAAGGAAAAAGACCGGAGAGGGCGTGGACACGACCGTTTACTTCCGAGCTCAACCTCGTTAGTGTCGTTGTGTTGTGTGGGGGGTTTGCGCGTGTGTATTTATAGCTCGGATGTGTGACTCATGCACGCACTAACATCGAGACCTAGATGTGAGGATAATCCAAGGTGAATGATCGCGTGAACGAGGGAGGAGTTGAAGATCCGCGCGGCTGGGGGACATGCTGCGAAAAGGGGAACCCAGTGTCAGAGGCTGGAGCTACCAGATTGGGGAATGTGAATAAACACGATTCACAACAGATCCACGCCAGATCGGTGGTATTGACATCGTTCTCGAGAATCCGATCAGACGGGGATCGGTTCACTGATTTGTGCCGACTGACACGCCAGCTCACTACAAACACTTTTTTCTCGTGGAAATTTAGTTCCTAGCATCACGATGCCCGCTTCATAGATCTAATTTGCACAAAATCACGTCAAAAATATGATGTGCGTTTTAGTGGTGCCCGCGAGTCAAATTATTTATAACCACGAAATCAGCTTTCCGGAGATCTGTCCCAGTATCTAGGATCAAACCAGTTGGACCGAGAACTAGGCCACCCAACCCAATATCCCAAGTGCTGGGTATACTTGTGCATGACAAATATTATTTACCATTTACTAGCCACACAAACAGCTTCATACCGCCGATGCAACCGTGGACAATTCTAGTTCCCTACTGATATTTATATAAGTAGTGGCGACTTGATGAAGGTTACCCTGCCGAATGCCCTTATTTTTCAGGACTTCAATACAACAGGCCTCTTCTTCCCCTGCGTGAGCATGACAGCCCGTGCGAGTGCTCGCTTTGTTCTGGGCGGAAACCACGGAAAACTGAAGCACGGACCGCCAGCGGGCTACGCGCCAATCATCGACGCCTTGCAACCCTCGCAACGACTGCGTTTGGAACCGGTCTTCTCCTTCGGCCGTCTCGACAAATCGATATTCTCTGGGCCCCTGGCCTCGCCTCTGCCCTCACAGGACGTCTTCGTCCCCGTTCCGATCAACACCGAGAAGGTACGTCCTGTTGGAGTTTGCTGGACGCTTCCAACTGATTCTCGGGTGTATAGATTCTCGGGAAGGGATATATTGTATGTCTTCAGCTTCATTTTTAATCCTACTAAAGTGGAGCCTACGTTAGTCATTATGGTCATTGTGAAAGTAGCATTCAGTGGAAGAAGACATTCCATCTCCAGCAAAAACACACAAACAGCAGAAAAAGCGTTCGTCTTTTCACTCGCCAATCGTAATTTGTGTGGGGCTGAACTTTATCCAATGACAAAGCAGATGTATTGATTAAGACGCTGATTGCTTAACAGAATGCCCTCGTCCCTATTGGTCCAAAAGAATAGTACTTGGAAGATTTCAAACTCAAAGTTGGCCGACGTACTGACGTCGAAAACGATATTTGGATTAGGCCTGTACTTTCTAAATGCACTTTAAAGGCAAAGGACCATCAATTTCTTGGAGTCAACCACCATTGGATGATTAGAAATGGATCTTTTGAGGTAACAACCAATCAAATTCGACTGTAATGCAGTTTGGATGAACCAGATTACCAACTGACTGAGTTGCTATGAGTCCTGATACCTTGCAGAGAAATTGGTGGCCTCCATTAATCCCTTTCTCCTTCATCCTTCAGGTTCATCTGCCAACCGTCGTTGAAAGGATCCGTGACAAGCTAGCGGAGAACATGCATGAGCTCTGGGCCATGCGCAAAATCGATCAAGGCTGGGTGTTTGGGGAGGTAAGCAAGTCTACAATACCAGGTGTCTTTAATGGAACGGAAGTTAACACTCTTTTTTACAGTGGTAAAACTGAGCACCCCCGCCAAATCCCCAGAATGTGTTGCCAATCGGCATCTGGAATCCTTCTGTTTATAAAACTGTCACTCCCTTAAAGTTGAATCCTTTAGGCGTTTCAACATATCAGTGGATGTAGGGTTACTGACTTTACTGCACAATCATTGGTTTTGAGATCTCGGGATCTTTGCCTTTAACCCGGTTCATAAATCGCGCCTTTTTCATCCAGCGACGGGATGAATCAAGAAGACGCCACCCCTGTCTGTGCTCCTTCGACAAACTGCAACAGCAGGAGCGGCAGTACAACGTGACAATGGCGCTGGAGAACCTCAAGACCATCTTCGCTCTGCGCTACAACATCGGCTACGAGAGCTTGCCCGAGGGAACACGCATGAAGACGGTCAAGTTGAACGCCTCGTAAGTTACCTCGACTCTCACACACCATGGTCTGCCATTTGATTGGCTGGCAGGGACTACTAACTCGTTCTTATGACCTTAAGTTGGGCCAATGAAATGCACCGGTTGTTACTTTCCCTGGCAGATACACACAGTCAAACGGTTACAAGCCTCAACCGTTGGATCTCTCGGCAATACGCCTGTCTTCCCGACTCGAGACTCTGGTGGACGAGTTGGCTGAGAACACCCACAACATCTGGGCCAAGGATCGTATTCACCAGGGCTGGACTTACGGTTCAACTGAGGCAAGCTAGCTGTTCCACCGAGTGCATCTACTTATTTGCATTTAAGTAGGAGTCTGTAGCCAAGTTGTCGGCCTAAATGGCAGACGATACACACGTGCGATAACACCTCATTACAACAGGAGCTAATATTCATACTTAGTGGTTGCTGCCTCGTTTTTAATCGCTATCTGTTCATTATCCCATGTAAGCAAGTCGTGCTAATGAGGAGGGGGGAGTTGAGGATCCGCGCGGATGGTGAAATGATGCGAAAAAGGGGATCCTGTGTCGGAGGCCGGAGTGATCGGATTATTGAGTGTGAATCAATGCGATTCATAACAATCTCAGTTAATGGAACGTTTGGAACGTGAGTTCCGCGTGAACTATCTCCAGGGGAATCTACATCGGCCTTCTAGCATTCCAACCGCCCGTGATCTTGGATCATTCCAACAGCCAGGAGGCGGACTTCATCCAATTAAACAACCACGTTGATTGTGTGATGAGGTTTGTGAAAAGCGAATCTAGCGCGAGATGTTAGATTCCTCCAAATTTCCCCTGTGGCGAGTTTCCTAGTTTAAAAGTAGTTTTAGATCGAAAACGCTTCTAATTGGTCAGTTGAAGGGGTGTCTTGAAAGAGATTGGCTGGGAAATATTTCCTCGTTCCACACATTCTCAGTATCATTGGTTTCAAAGACTAGAGAATCATCTGGATGTTTTTAGGTTGATAGCTAATTGCCTAGTGTAACTAATTAAAAAAGAGCGAATTATCGTTAATTTATTTGTTTAAATAAACTGTTATCCCTCAAGGACAACGCGCAGAAGCGCAGTCCTCATCTGGTGCCTTACTCGGAGGTGAACAGCACTATCAAGAAGATGAACAGGGAGTCAGCGACGGACGCAGTAAAAACCCTCATCGCCTACGGCTACGTCATCGAGCCGGTGTCTGGCGACGCCGAACAAAGTAGGCCTTCTTCCTTCCCCACCCCATCCACCTTTTTTCACCAACCAGAGCTAGGTCTTCTTGCTCGGTCAAATCTACCGGTGTAAAGACTCCCATGTCGTGGAAATAGGCGTGTTGAGGCCCACATGCGACACGCAGATGCCCAGAGAGAGGTGTAATTTGTCTACCGACCAAGGAGATTGGACTGTTTGAGCAGATCCATCTTTTGTGTAGCCAAACAAAATTTCCCGATCTTTAGCAGCACATCGATTTGCTGGGGGCGTGTGATTAAGGACATGGTGCTTGCCTGCCAACCTGAATATCAGGAATTGTTTCAGACGAAGTTCCTGGTTTCAAGTCATGTGTTAATCCAGATGGGTTAGTGAATCACGTGGATTCACCACACCGCGTCCTCAACTATTAAACAGCTGGGAATCTCACAAACGCTCAATTCTAAGTGACCTTCCCAAGCATTTCCGCACAGTTTAGAAGAGGCATCAGTCAACGTTGTTTAATGCCTCGTGTAGTGTTGACATTTTATCCATCGGTAGCTATGAGCATCAAAATGCGCTCTCCTTTCACTAATTGATAATCTCCCGCGTGTTCATTCGCCTCTTCGCTAGATCGCGAAAATCCGCTTGACGTGCTGGAGGAGGCGACAATGAATTATCGCGCGGCGTCATCGAAGGCCGTCACGCGCGGGAAGTGGTACGTTTAAACAAACCCGCATGACAACCGACACGAACTGCCCGGAGTTGACGTGTCGCGCTTCTTGCTTGTTGCTAGGTACTACGAGGTGGAACTTCTGACGTACGGCATGGTTCGAGTGGGTTGGGCCACGAAGAACGCGCCTGCTGCCACGACCATCGGAATGAGTGGATCCTCCTACTCCTTCGCCCCTGAACAGGTACGCGCCGTGGCGTGTGTGCCTGTGCCAGAGTGCCTACAACCCCGCATGTCCTCAGAGGTCACACATGCATGCTCAAATGCGTTGTCAGTGGAGGCTGGAACGTGTTACAACATGATTGGTGTCCCTATCTTAACGATTACAATAATCTTCCCAACAAACCACCATCACATATTAACGGTGCACATTTTTGTCCTACACACCAGGCGCGGAAATACCACCGCGATGGCAGGCCGTATGGAAAACGCTGCGAACCCGGTGATGTGATTGGGTGTATGCTCAATCTCAATGAGAAATCAATAAGTAAGCACAGGACTCATTGATTGGCTAATTTGTCTCCGCAAATCACGCGTATTGAAAACGCCGCTTCGCTTGCCTTAAGTGTTCTCGCTCAACGGTGAGATCATGATGGATCCACTGGGCCAGGAGATCGCTTTCAAGGACATCAAAGTTAACGACGGTGAGTCATGATTGGCTTGATCATTCTTCCGCACAACCTTTCGATGTGCTTCAAATCGTTGATGTGTCTCAATTTAGGATTTGTGCCAGCCTTCACACTGGGATCAGGCCAACAGGTGCGCATCAACTTCGGTAACGTCGTCCAAACCTTGAAGTACTTCACCATCTGCGGTCTTCAGGAGGGCTATAGTCCGTTTGCTGTGTGAGTCATCCGTCAATCGATTTATTAGTCACATCAGTACACCTCCCGTTCCTCTATCTTAACTCCCATCTTTACCCGGTGATGCAAAAAAGTAGGCACGTTAGTGTCTCGGGCGTAGTTAGGAGTTACTGCGCACGTCAGCCAATGAGAGGTTCGGAAAATGGCTCTCGGACTTGTTTTTGGTCAGGCATTGAATTCATGAACAAAAACATTTGTTCATAAAATGCTTGATTTTTTTCACTTCAGCAACATGAGCAATGCCGTCCCGATGCGGTACAGCAAAGTGGACGCATCGTTGTTCAAGGACTTGAAGCCGAACCACAGCAGACTTGAAACCAAGGTCTCTGGTGCCTAGTACGTTGCCCTTTCTCTAATTTCTAATCTGTCTGGCTCAAAATCTGGCTCCGCGTGGACCATAATCAAATCTGCACCGGGCGGAATCGTATATTTCTTGAAACGTTCCGTCACTGATCATGGAAAATGGGATCGCTTACGACGTTATCGATCGAAAGTGAATATGGCGCAGGAGTGTACCGAACCAGTCCCCACAACGTCAAAAACTAGACACATTTTAAAAGTTCATGCTGTCAATTTGGCGGAAGTGCATAGGGTCCTGTGTATTTCGACCTACTTTCAAAGGAGTTAACACTCACCCAAGTTATATAGGCGGATTTTTAAAAGTGAAAAATTATCGTATGCTTTCCAGACCGTTATCTTGAAATGGTCAAAATGACGGCAGAGGGTTACTGGACGTCAAATACGTAATTACGACATCGACGATCTATTGATTCAGCACTGTAAATAGGAAAAGTTGAGGTTGGCATTTTTGATTCGACGAAAATGTTGATTGAAGCTGTGTGTGTCAATGTGTGTGTGTGTCATAGTGTGTGAATTTGTGTGTGTATATGTGTGTGTACGTGTGTGTTTTTGTGTGCGTGTGCGTCTGGACCAGTGTGTGTATCTGTCTCTGTGTCTATGTGTGTGTATCTATGTGTGTACGTGTGTGAGTCTATATATGTGTGCACGCATGTGTCTGTAAGTAGGTTTGTGTCTATGTGTGTGTGTGTGAGTGTGTGTGTGTGTGTATCTATCTGTGTGTGCATGTGTCTGTGTGTCAAAGTGTGTGCGTCAGTGTGTGCGTGTGTCAGTGTGTGCGTATATATGTGTGTAAGTGTATGTTTATGTGTGTATGCGTGTGTCTGTCTCTGTGTGTGTCAGAGTGTGTGTTTTTGTGTGTGTGTGTGTCAGTGCGTCAGTGTATGTGTGTGTGGAAACGAAGCCTGTAACGGTTCTTCTGACCCTCGAACAGCCCGCCAGTGATCAACATTCTGGCCAAATCACCCAGTCCAACTGGGCTGCATCAGATGGAGTATCTGCGCCTGGGACTAGGCATTCGGTGTAAGGCGCAATTCACCACGCGGTAAGTCGGCATGCACGCTCACTCCAGCTGCTCCACATCCAGAATGCCTCCACAAATCCGGAGATGACGCCTCACACGCAATTTGTTCGGTCTCCATTCAAGTGCAGGGCTGCATGGCTTTAATAAGTCGTGGTTTCAGTTCCAGTAAATGCGTTTTTTTTGTTTCTATGCACGCGCAGATCGCTTGCCGATCGAAGAGCGCATTTGGACCAACTGCGCAAGCAACTGGAACCCGAGGACTACCGTCACCATCCAATGGGCATCGGAGGTCCATCCAGCCTCGATCTTATGTCCTCGGTTAGTAATACGATATGACTCACGTGGCTCCTAGGCGTTTCCTAGCGTCATCTTCGACCACTGACAAATCAACTCACAAGCTTCATTGCTTAATTAAATTGCTACTTATAGTTACTAAGTAGCTGGTATAATTGACACAACGCTTTGATTTGTTTACTTCAAATTGAGCAGCGAAGGAAATTAGCAAATTTACTTAGAGCGATCCCAATTTGACGATAACTTCAGTGACACGTCGAGGGTCTCTTCTCCTTGCAGGAAATTGGAGCCTCTGGATTGGAGGTGCGCGATCGACGAGGTAAGAGAGCGCGTCTTGCCAATGTCTTCAGGAAGACACGCCAACGAGACGTCAGTCCCGATGTCGCAGGCGGCTACTCAGGTGAGTCTCTCTCCTTGTCCAAAAGCGCTCAACAATTGGACAGTTGACTAGATTTGATGAAATGGAAACGCCCCAGCCCACCCCAGTCCGACAACTAGTTGTTCAGAGAGTTAGTCTGTAGAATTTTCGAAACAAGCAACAGTTTCAACACGACCGCCTGGAAGTAAGTGAATTCAGTGTTATTCATCGTCCTGATTTTGCGGAATGCATCTATATAGCAGTTTTCGGATTGGGCATCTCAAGGTCATGTAATTGCAGTACAATACTCTCTTATTTTTGCTGTCAATTCATTAAATTTACTGTGATTTAGGTGCAGGTGGTGTGAGTCTGGTGAGTGGAAGTGGCAGCGGCACAGGAATTGGCAAAAAGGGAGACCCTGGAACCTCCAGTCAGACCTCTGGAGGAGCACATGAGGGCTCTCCCGGACCCTCTGGAGAGGATTTCGAGCTCATTTTGGTATGCACCTTTACTCACTGTCATGGACTCCTATCAATATATTTGGAATACTAAAATGTTACTAATATTTAGTAAGTAGGTGGTATATTTTGCACGATGTTGTTTCAATGTTTTAGCCGGAACAGTCAGGTTTGGATAATGCGATTGCCGATTTCATGGATGAATTCGCCTACACAGTGCTCATCCCCCCTGGACAGAATCCCTGTCTGGTCAACGTCGGTTGGGTTGGCAGTTACTTCAAGATCTCGAAGCCGGCGTCGATCAGTGGCGGGAATCCCTTCCCCGTGGATCCTGATTTCAACGTCACACAGCTCGCTCAGCTATCGTCTCAATCGACCAGAACAACTACAGATGGCGACGCGGTTAGTCGGTCGGAATCCACAGACTCCGACGCTACCGGAAGTGTAGTCAGTCCTGAGAAGTTGATAAATTTTGCCGAGGTACGACAGGTCGCAGTTTGTCTCCTCAATGATGACCTCACGTTAAAGGCAAGTCAACACGCTGAAATGCCCTCCTTTTGTAAAGGCTTAAATTCTTCATGCTGATTTCCGTCTTGATCATTTAGTCTGCGGTCGCTGAACGATCTTCATTCCTGGTGAACGTGGGAGACCTCATCCAGAAAACCTCAACCCCTGACGATATCGGAAAGCGTGTGAGTCAAGGCCTCGCAGTGACTTGCTGGGTCGATACGGCATCGGGTACACTGGGATTCCGACTGAACGATCGCGACACCCTCTGTCGGTTTCAGGTTGCTACTTAATTATAATGAGTAGATAGCATGTTATCAACGTGGTTTGAATAGCAATGTTGCATTTCCCCTGCACAATAGGTGGAGCCATGCACCCACCTGTTCGCGGCTGTGTTTGTCCGACCAACGGCACGTGACTGCGTCCAATTTGAGCTTGGACGTCGCTCACGGTATCATCTACCCATAACTGCTGGCATGCTTCGACCTCCAAGACGCGCCAATATGCCCATTCCACACAGACTGAATGTGCAAGCTATTGAGGTAAATAACCCCTACTATTAAACAATAAGTAGCCAGTAATTCGTCAGGCCTGAACTATTGCAGTCACGATTTTTTATGCTTTCAAAAGCGTGTTCACTGGGCTCCGGTACCAGATGAACAAGCGAAAATTCAGAGTATGAAGATGAGCGATCAACGGGGCTGGAGTATGCTGCTAGAGAATAGTGCGCCTCGCCTTGTAATCCAGCTGCCTGAAGCGGACCGATGCTTCTCGATCCTGGAGCTGGAGGACATGCCGGATCTCCTGAGGTAACGCCAATGACAGACTTCATTATCGATTTTTCGCAAACCGCCGTGGTTCCAATTGGTTGTTTCACTTTTAAGGTTCCACGCAAGCACACTGGCCCTCTATCGAGCGCTCTGCTGCCATGGTAACCACAATGTCGCGCAAAAACTAACGAAGCACGTGGATCAGAACCAGCTGCTCTACGTGATTCAATCGAAATGTAAGTCGTGTAGTTCTGTCGTGCGGTTTACCAAGGCAACAGTTCATAGAAGATGTCTCTGACACATTGCTAGACTCCAAGATTATAATCGATAAGAGGCAACCAATCAGCATTCAGTAATTAAGTGCCATTACCACGATGATGGTGCGATGAAAAGAACGCTCAACTGTAGCTGTGTAATTCCTTTAGACATTCACGGCTCTCTGCGCTCCGAGTTTGTTCAACTCCTTCTGGCCATGCACTTGGAGAGTCACATGAAGCTGAAGCAGGTCACGGGCCGCGAGTTCATCGTTCCCCTGGAAAAAGATGACCTTGACGTCCAGAAGACGCCCGAGCACGTTCTCAAGATTGTCCACGACTGGGATCCCGACCACATTCCCGCTGTCACGGAGCACCGCAGTATCCGGCCGAAGTTGATTACCGATCCGCACCTGTTGATGTAAGTCCCGGCGTCTGTGTGGTTTGTTTTAATCACTAGGTTAGCCTCCCGCGCACTGAAATTTGCACAAGCCATGCAAACGACGATCTACAAAAATCCCAGGACGTCTTCAATGAGGATTCATTGTTGCCGTATCGGGCTAAGTAAGGCGCTCAGAACGGGTTTCTAACCAAACCGTCAACTCTGTTGCTGTGTTCGTGTGTGTACATATAAGTCAGATTATCAGAGGGGAGTGAGTTTCCAGGTTGTCCAGACATGCGTAGACCCCATACTGACTTCGTTCCTCTTGCCTTGTACTCAGTTCCTCATAGTATTACGTATTACCTCATTCGAAGACATGAGCTCAAATCAACCAATAAGATGCAGCCAATCGGAGCACAGTTCAACAACCAATCACTGTCGGAAGCTGGCAGATAATCGCAGATGATCGTTTTGAGGTGGATTGATATTCCATTCCTAACCGACCAAGTTTTGTTTCCACCAGATTAGATTCCTTGAGTAGCTCTTAAGGCGTTCTGCCTTGCTGCATTTGATGGCTTCACGCAAACTCTTTATTTGAATGTACTTCTTTTACGGAAAATTATTTTCGAATCTCAAATCGAAACAGCGTCAGTAAATGTGACTAAGGCATCCTGCAGCGAATGCCAGAGCAAATCTGTTCTTTCATTGGTGCACTCGATTTGGGACGACGTTTCCCCATCAAGGTCGTTTGTCAAAAACAACAATAAGGTTGGTTTGGAGTGTTACCGTCGTCGTGGAAAGCGTTGGACATTCCTGAAGGCCTGGCGTCTCAAAGATGTGCCTTCAATGATTCCTGACCCAATCTCAACTAAGCCACCACACTCTCCTTCGTCGGGGCTCGAACCAGTAGCCTTCAGTGCTAACGACGATCGCGTGCCTGCCTTCCTCAATCCAAATTAACTCTTTAAACTCGTTCTATTCCAGGCTAAAACGGCGCAGGACAGATTCTGTTAATGTTACGGCTTCGTAAGAACAGTTTCCTGCCAGTTTACTCCGTTTTACACGCGTTCGCATGGCTTTGTTACACACTGTTATCATGAAGACATGTTTACAGAGGACTTGGCATTTAACTAATCACACGGCAACCTCTAACGACTTACTGCCGGTTTCAATAACAAGCGGTATGCCCTAGGCGCCTCGAGAGCAGTTACAGAGACTGAGAGGCTTGAAACGCATGAGAAAAATGCGCAAGTGCAGTGGTTAGTGTAGTTAGCCTCTTCCCTGGATTGCATGCAGGCTAAAATCTAGCTCATGTTTACTTACAACTAATAAGTAGGCGTGATTTTTTGTACTAGACCGGGCGCGGATGGAACTGGTGCGGGGAATTTTGTCGTTCCTGCGGGCGGTGCAGAGATTCAGCCGGAGGCCGCCATGACAGCTGCCATCGCGGCAGCGGGACCAGGCGGCCTTCTGAAACTTGCTGATTGCCCTCCGTTTCCGCTGGACCAATTGAAGCGACAAACGCTCGACGCACTGATCGATATGGCAAACACTGGGGGTCACGTGCGCGACCCCTTTGGAGGCAACTTTGAGCACGCCTTGCTGTGAGTCGTGTAATTGACTGTTGATGGCACCCTCTTAATTTGATTGGCTGGGATATCTGTGAAGCATTTTCTTAAAATTTGGCCAAATTTTATCGGTGTTTTGGTAGTCCTGATCTGCTTTTCCGTGTACTTCAGACCCCTCCTCCAAATTCTCAATCACCTTCTCGTCATGGGTTCATTGGACGCCTCCGACCTTGCCACCGTTCTCGGACTTCTTAGTCCAAAGCTGTTTCCCAACACTCCCGTTTGGAGAGGTAATGTAACAACAAAAAAAACAGATTTTGGAAGAAAAGAAGCACAAATTTGCGAGCCTACTTATAATTAAAATAAGTACTATCTCTAGCAGTTCATTAATGCATGATCTCTGCCACGCAAATGGCTCCTCTCCTTCCTCGATGATGTGATTCAAGTGGACTGAGTGACTGCAAACATCCAAAAGCAGTCCTCTATTCCTATTGGTCAGCTCAAAGCAGAGGACAAATCAGGAAGACCAACCGCCAATAAAATTCGACTATTTTAAGCCAATGAAATCTATCTGTTCGCCCTAATTTGAAACGTCCCTTGAGACAATCCATAGCAATTTCTCAGACATGCTATTATTATTTCGCAAATCTTCTTTATCTTTGGTTTTATTTACAATCTGGTTTCATTTCTGAGATTAATTTTGCCTTGAATGAAACAAAATTATATCATTGCTCTGAAATCGACTGTGATTGGATGTGAAGCTTGTGTCAAGGTCACTATATTGTGCCTTATGAATGCCCTAGTTACGAGGATAGCGGGTAGCCTGCTGGAGCTTCCGCTGCCCGAATCAGTCAAGATGGAGGTGTGTCGACTCTTCCATAATCTCTGCGACCTGCAACTTCGACATCGCATCGAATGCATCGTGACCTTCTCAAACACGGCGGTCAGCGAAATCCAGAATGTGAGTGGAAGTATTACTACTGCCTGTAGTTACGTACTCGTCTTCAGACGGCAAATATTCTCACTCAATTGGATAACTCCCTTTATTGATCCAACTAGGACCAGATGCAGCGGTATCTGGCCATCAAGGTGGCGAATCTGCCGTCTTCTGTGGCGGCTCCACGAACTCGCGAATTTCGTTGTCCACCGAATGTCCAGATCCGCAACCTGCTGTACATGCCTGGACCCGGCGGACCTTCAGGACTGCTTAACGAACCCGCCTTGAACGCCTCGGAGGCCGCAGACGGCGAGAACGATGCTGCGACGGCCGTTCTAGACTTAGGCGATGGCGGTGAAGACGGCTCTAGTGACGGATGCTCAGGAAATCCATGCGCTGAGGAGATCAAAGTAATCGTTCAGGGTTCTAATACCTTCTTGACACGAACCAGTGGTTCATTACTTGGCATGTCTATTCTGCATCCAGGACCTGATGCGCATGTTCCACCGTCGTCTGATGGATCACCTGGGTGTCGGAACACCTGAGGCGGAAGACACTTGGGACTACAAAGGCGCCATTGCCACACTGCACGACGCCATTGCTAATGTCAGCGCTGAACACCTCGTCTCCAACGCAGTACCTCACCTTCGACAGTCACCACAACCACCGACTGCCTCCAGCCCCGTGGAAGAAGTTGTCGATCAACCGCAGTCCGAGTTGACGGAACTGCTCAGTACGCCGACACTTCTACTGCCCGAGGGTGTAGGTGACCCTGAGTCTGGCGCTGCTGGTCCGCCAATGGCCATCAAGGCCATCTGGGATCTGGTCTCCGGTGCAGCCAATCGCGGAGGCGGAGGCACTACAGGCAAAGGCGCCGATGGCGGCTCTCGACAACTCGCCTTGGGACCCCCTGAAGACACAAAGCCGCAAGGACGTATGTTCACGTCACTAGTCATCTCCTGAACTGCGTAATGCTAACTTGAGCGTGTTAGCGGTGCTGCTTTCTTTGATTGGCTCTTGGCATTCACCAATAGCATTTGGGATGCGTGGGTTACAATATATACTGGTCACCCATTGGCCGGTGACACAAATTAATGCGTCAGGCCAAACGTCTTCTTTTCTCGGCTTCAGGGAAGCTTCACCAGCTCATTCTGGAGACGGTGAGTCATTGGGCGAAGAGCTCAATCATCGAGAATGTCGAGCTGATTCGCCAAATGTTCTACTTGCTCTACCGCCAATACGGAGCCCTTGATGAGGTGAGTTTCGACTTATGGTGTGTGTCCCGCTGCCAACATTGTGCTTTACCACTTCACTACTCTGGCTCACAGCTTCGACAGGGACTGACGCGCACCTACACCATCGGACATCGCTCGAAAGAGGACGTTTCACGACTGCTGCGCTCTCTCGGCCGAATTCGCTGCCTGCTCGGTGTTCAGGTCGGCGCCAATGAGGAGATCCTCCTGAAGAATTGTCTCTGGTAGGTTCTGCGGAATGCCACAGTAGTGATTCGTTCTCATGTAGGTGGACCGATAACCTCCACTGCCTCGCCTTTCCAGGGACATCATGAACAACAATGTCTTCTTCCAGCACCCAGACCTGATCCGAGTTCTCGCAGTCCACGAGACCGTCATGCAGCTGATGGTCCACACTCTCTCGAAGGCCTCACTTGACTCCCCCACTGCGTCGTCCGTCGCCGCCGCCCAAATGTCCACAATGACGGCCACCTCTGAGGTCCAACTCCAGCAGATCGAGGATGCACGTCCGTCGCGTCACCGACACGGTTCCAGCGGAGCTGGCAGTCTCCCAGTTGTTGTCGAAGAAGGCGAAGACACCACATTGAACGGTTAGTCTGTGACAGCGCCTCCACACACAAAATCGACAAATAGGGTCTGTGGGTCTAATTGGTTGACTCTAAGAATTCCTGTACTTCCAGATGATGGAATCGAAGTTTTAAGGGTTATACGTTACGACTCACACTTCCGGCTGCAGTCGAAGTTGTTGTCGTCTGTAGAAACGATGGTTGTTTTTGCCTAAACACGTCCACCTTGCCACGGTTTCAGGCTCCAACACTGGACATCGTAATGTATCCGTGGGTCCAACTGAGATGGTGGTTCAGTGCTGTCGATTCCTCTGCTACTTCTGTCGCACCTCGTGGCAAAATCAGAAGGCCATGTTCGACCACCTTAGTTACATGCTCGAGAACTCGTCGATGCTGTTGGGTGAGCAATCCAAATGGAACTCTGGCTACATTTCTGTGCTCTCGAAGTTACTGTCTGTGTTTCCTCCTAGCTCGTCCGAGTCTGCGTGGAATTTGTCCGCTGGATGTCGCTTACTCCTCATTAATGGACAACAATGAATTGGCACTGGCCTTGCGCGAGAAGCAACTGGAGAAGGTAGTTTAATGCACACGTAGTCACTTCACGCGCGCACTCGGGTCCACCAATCCGAATCATGTCTGACTTGTGCCATTGATTGGTCAATTCAACGCGTACAAAGCATGGCCCCGTATTCACTGATAAAAAAAGTTACCCTAGCTTCCAGCTAACTAAACTTCTTTGGAGTTGTTAGGCAGAATTTGCATGAATGTGACTTCACTCAATGTGTCGATTGTCTTTCAAGGTTGCGGTTTACCTCTCACGTTGTGGCGTCCAATCAAATGCAGAGTTGCTGGCGAAAGGGTATCCAGATATCGGTTGGGATCCTGTTGAAGGCGAACGGTTCCTGGATTTCTTCCGCTTCACGGTTTGGGTCAACGGTGAGTCCAGCTTCTTGATCCCTCACAATCATCTGCTTGTGTTTGTGCGTGTGTTGTATGATTTCAAGGTCACACATGGCTAGTGGAGTTATCAACCAATAGGATTCGGTTCACTGCGATTCAATTTTACCATAGGCTGTCAATTTTATTGACATTTTGTGCTTCAGGTGAAAGCGTGGAAGAGAACGCCAACCTCGTAGTTCGGCTTCTCATTCGCCGTCCAGAGTGTTTGGGTCCGGCGCTTCGTGGAGGCACCAAGACGGCCTCTAGTCGTCGACAGCGACTCAACTCCCAGCAGGGTCCCAACGGCGGGGACGTGGGGGACCAATTAGCACCCCCCGGGAGCCCTGAAGGACCGGTCGGCGGAGGAGGCGCGGGTGTTACCAGTGGGGGTAGCACCACGGGACCTGCCGACGACGCACACTCCACCACCGCGTCGAACGCCAATTCGCCTTCCTCTTCCACCGGTGGAGGTCTACTAAAGGGCAAGTTTTCTTCATAATAAAGACTTGCATTGTTTAAAAAAATAGGCTTCCTATTTTAACCAACAGTTCTCATCCACTTTCGTCAAGGCATCAAGGAAGGCATCGTGATGTCTGCACTAATAAAACTCGTCAAGATGGCCATGGAAGCCGAGGCGCAGGGTTTGAATCCGGAGGACGAGGATATGGGATGGCGAACTGTCCTCATGGACTACGAGGACTGCAACCTTTTTGCTCCTTTGCCCTACAACTTCAGCAATCTCCCTGTACGAAAAAAATCTAGCTACTCTGTAATTTTCAATAGGCATAATTTTACCGGCGATGCACTTTTCCCCTAGCCCGAGGACGACGAAGACTATGTGGACCTTGGCGCAGCCATTTTAACCTTCTACTCGGTGCTGGTGGATCTTCTGGGCCGATGCGCGCCTGAACTCGATGCCTCAAAGAGCGAGTCGGTGCGAGGACGTGCGATCCTGCAGTCCTTGGTCTCAATGCAGGACCTGGAAGGTGTACTGTCCCTCCGCTTCATTCTGCCTCCACCGAAATTGGAAATGCAGGTATGCAAAGTACTCTCATTGAGTCACGCCTCTGTTCTGAACCGCATTTGTGCAAATTTCTTGAAATTTACGTTGCGCCTTTCAGTTGAATGCTGAAGGTCTGGAACAGTGGATGGACAGATCTCCGATGCCACCTGGACTGTTACCCGAGCACAAGGCTGCAGTGGTTCTATTTATGGAAAGGGTTTACGGGTTGTCTGACGCGGACACCTTCGTTCGTCTCCTCGAGAACGCCTTCCTTCCTGACATGCGAGCTGTCACGCTACTCGATAGTGTAAGTAGTCATTAATTTTTAAAATCGCATTTTGAACATCGAGGAGGTAAGTGAGTAAGCCACAATGGTTAACGTGCCTTTTCTTCTACAGGCCCAGCGTGGTGTTACTGCGAGCGACATGACCTTGGCGCTGAATCGATATATCTGCGGCTCGGTACTGCCTCTTCTCACACGCTATGCTCACTTCCTTGCGGTGAACGAGGTGACTGCGGGTTTGCTAGAGTCCACACTGCACACCGCCTACCGTTTGGCTACCTGCTGGTCGATAACCAATAATCAACGAGATGTGGTCAGCGACTTCCTTGTCGCGTTAGTTGAGCACATTCAGCCATTCTCAATGACCAGCCTCATTCGGAAGATAGCCAAGAATATGCGAACCGTTGGTAGAGAGGTAGAGAAAAGTTTTATATATGTAATACTACTTACAATTTGTCAGTAGTGGATAATTTTGGCCCATTCCTTTTCACAGTGTGCTGTCTCGCTGCGTGTCCTGACCACATTCTACCAAAGATTTGGTGCGTACTACAGCTCCGAGGGCTGGACAGCAGAGTACGCCGGTGCTGGTGAATCTGGCGGTGGTGGATCCAAGGCGCCCAATCAGGGTGGAGCGAGTGCAGGGTCAGGTGGATCTCGCGACACATCGAAGACCGGTGATCACACATTCGTACGACCCACAACGACTGGCACCACGGCCACTGCTACCGAAGAGGAGCGTAACCTAACTGCGGAGCTTTTCAGTCTCATCTTTAACAACCTCTCCTGTCGTCGCTATGACGCCGAGCTCTACGTCTATGCGTTGCCTTGCCTCACTGCCATTGGCTGCGCTCTTCCTCCTGACTACTGCTCATCTCACTGGGATGCCCAATCGAAATTTGGCGAAGATGACACAGTGGGACCTGATGGTACGTTTCATCAATCCCTGGTTACGGTTCCACAATGCTTTCTTCTTATAATATCACTGGTGCCCCTTCATTTGAAGTTGACTGCTTAACCAATTAGAGCCTGGAAGTTCCCGTGCGGACCAATCACGTTCAAGTGCGCACTTCACATGAGCTATCAGCCATTGGCTAGAAATCGAAACGCGCGAGTGCACACCCAATGATAAGTCGTAGTTAATTCCGTCGCCTTTTGTGTTTAGTTGCAGTTCATCCGGGCGGTCCTGATAGCACATCTGATCACCCAGGCTGCGCTCAGCAACACGAGAGCTTCAGGCCTGCTCCCCTAGCAACGGCCTCGGTAAGATTGTCCAATTAGCGTGACAGAGTCGTCATCTGATGATTGGTTGGTTTCACGCGTTTTGTCTGACGCTTAGATCAAGCTGCCTGGCGCGTTGAGCATTCTGGTAGATCAATTCGCCAAGCACTGCCACGACTCCTGGGCCCACGAATTGATTGAGCAAGGATACGTCTACGGTCCAACACTAGATGAGGCCAGACGAACACACCCCAACATCCGACCCTACCACAGTCTCACGCAGCGGGTAAGACTCCTAACTTTTACACTGGTTAACAAGTGCTTAAGTAAAGCTCTTTTTGGTTGGCCAAGCGGCAGCATGCTGCACGCTAATTGGGAGATTTAAGCCCACTTTTCCACTAACCAATCATTGTTTCCCTTTCACTGTCAAACCGCTACAATTTGAGTGTTTCAGTCAAAATCGCTTCAAAGTATATTAGGTGACATGTCCACGGATGGAACAAGGGTAATTTTTTCTTACAAAATATTGATTCTGATTGTAGGACCTGATTCGCTACATTCAGCCAGTCACTGAGACGCTCAGGGCAATGCTTGCCCTAGGCTGGACCATTGATCCGTCGGGGGTGTGTCACGAGGACGACGGGACCGGATTGGGATTGCGCAGACGCCAGTTCATTCAAAATGTGAGCTCCACCAATGAGGTTGCTGGAAGCATGTATGGATCAACGCCAGCTAAATCCTGGTTGTTGAATCGTTAGATTTTCTCGATTTACAGACAGTTCTGTGTTTTTCTCTTTGCCGATGTAGATTTCACGAAAACATTTTGACCAATTGCACTGTTTTTCAGCATAACGAGACCCCTCAGGGCTACAATCCGACGCCAAAGGACCTGCATGGCGTAAATGTCACCCGTGAACTCATTGACTTGGCCGAACGCCTGGCCGACAACGCGCATCAGATCTGGGCCAAGCAGAAGATGGAGGAACTTGAAGAAATCGGTGAGTTTCGGTGAACGAGACACATAAAATCGCTGTTTTGGGGTGCACTGTACCAGGTTCGTGTCCAGGACAGTCCTGATTGGCCAGTTTGAGGCTTCCGCCATAATGATTTGCAAGGTCATTTTCATCTTTACCTTTAAGCCCCGAAGTGTTCAACTCGCAGTTCTTTAGGGGCCACAGAAACCTCAGCAGCGACCTCGAGGAATTAAGACTTGTGCTCACAACGCGTAACATAACAAAATCCTTATTACGAGTCAAACGAAATACTACTTGTGCAACAATTAAGTAAGCAGTTGTTATGTTCTTGTAGGTGGTGGGGTTCACCAATTGTTAGTGCCATACGATATTCTGACGGATCGTGAACGCAAGCGTTATCGTCGACTAACCCACGAGCTCATCCGATATCTTCAATACTGGGGCTACCGACTCTCCTACAAACCACCCAATCAGCATGCGGATACAGCCAAGCCGGGAACCACACCTGCGACAACGGCCGCATCGGCCACCGTCAAACAATTTGCCGGCGAAAGGGGTGAAGGTATAGACTCCGCCTTTTCATTGCACAGCTGCTTCACATTTATTGACTGGCTGATGACCAATGAACACCGAGTTTACAGGCGATCGCTTCAATTGGTTTAAACTGTCTTGCGAAATCACGCGTGCAAACCCGTCCACTGAAAATAAACGAAGCATTATAGTTGATCCAAAATGTTGTGTGTTTACCGTGTTAGCCTTTCTGCGCATTGTAGGCCACCCGTCAAGTCGATTTGCTTACGGGCTGCTCTCGAAGCTGTTGGACTATGTTGAAGGCGCCATGTCGACGGTGCGTGAGGACAAGCCAAGTCGCATGTTTAGCCGACACCAAAGCCTCACTCAAACCAGTGAAGACATGAAGCTCCTTGTCAAGGTCGTTCTGCCCCTACTTGAGCGTTACTTCTACACACGCAAGTCCTACTTCATCGATCCCTACTGTGGCGCGTCGATTGAGGAAAAGAAAATGGCCACGATGTATGTGCACTGAGAATAACGTTAGTAATCTCACGGTCGCTTCTGATTGGCCGCTTAGGAAGCTCATTGCAAGCTGATTGGTTAATGGTAGCACAATAATCTAGTAGAGTTTTTAGGCTTAATTTTTCCCTCTTTTTATGAATCTCACCACTCGCTCGTCCCTCTTCAGGCTCTTCACCAAGCTGTTCACCCTACTTCGACTGAAGACGCGTTGTTTCGGCGCAGACGTCAACGTCACTGTCTCGTGCCTCAAATGCCTCATCGAGTGCCTGGACATCAAGGCGATTGTGAAGATAAGCTACGCCGAGGACTTTGTCAGAGTCCGTCTGATGCCCTTCTTCGCCTACTGTGCTGACGACCTCAACCTCCTCATTCGAAACCTCAACTCCGGACGCTACTCACACATAAAGGTGGGTATTTCCGCAAAGGAATGCATCCACTAATACTGTCCCATGAAACGTGCATGACGCTTAATTTTCTAGCCAATTTCCTGAATCTTTATTGGTCAGCGATTCAACCAATCACATTTTCGGCTTTATAACAATTGACCCTTACTATCTCCCGCCATCTTTCGTCTCCTGTAAGGGTACTATCCGCCGTGGAGCCTGCAGCATCCATTACGTTCACATGATTCTGCTGCCAACGCTCAAGACAATGTTTGAACACATCAGTAAAACTGGTGTGGGCGAAGACCTACTGCTCGGACACCTCCAGGTCACCTGCTACCGGATCCTGAACGCGCTTTACGTTCTTGGCACCACGAGTCGGAAGCACGCGAATCGGCCTGAGCTAATGGAGGAGCTCAACAGGTCCAGATCTGCACTACTTTTGCATCATCTATGCTACTGAGTGGAATTAAGTAGACGGTCGTTTTTACTTGCAGGCATCGGCCGATGTTGGGTGAATGCTTGGCCGCTCTCACCTCGTGTTTCCCTGTGGCCTTCCTGGAGCCCGAATTGAGTGCTCACAATCCCCGATCGATTGCTTACAGCGTTGAGGAGGCTGACTACTCATTTGAGGCCAGGGGTGCGTTTGTTTAAATCATTTCTCAAAGACAGGCTTATATGAAACAAGCAGAGGTCAAATTGTGTCAAAGGTCCACATTTTTAAAAATAGTCAAGGATATCACTAATCAATTTATTGATTTCTAATTGCGTTAAACACAAGACTATGCTGTCTCATTATCGAATGTGGCATGCCGCACATTGACGTGTGATATTTAAATAACGTGGAAATCCCCTTGTCCAAAATCGCAGAATCGGATGATAAGATTCCAGAGGAGGAACTCGACCCGTTTGGAGCTAGAGGTAAGTCGAATTAGACATGCTTGCCGTCCATGTGAAATGCCTACTGAATATTATCTAGTAGCATGTACTTTGTAATGTCTGTCAATAGTAGACAATTGCTGGATATGCCTTAAATACATGGGGAGAACTTGGTTCTGGTGGGCTTTAGACCTGCTTCAGAAGATCGGCAAGACGCTGCCCTCGCTGCACGACATAATCGATGACATTGTTCGGCTTGCCGAAGCTGGTTCGAATTGCGCCGGTGAACCGCACCTGATCGAGGTGACCTTGCCGATGCTGTGCTCATACCTGCCAGTGTGGTGGCGCAAGAACATCGCGCAGCGACGTCACGCCACCCGCAAAGGCGTCAACCTCGCATTCTTCCCCGACAACGACCAAGTCCTTAGTCAGGTTGAACTTGACGGTGACCTCGACGGCGACCAATCGAATGAGAGTGACGACGACGATGAGAAGGGCTGGGGCGCGGCCACCGGACCAATCACAACAGTCACGGCTGACCTCATGAATCGCGTGCTTGGCTCCGTGTTGCAGTTAATTCAAAATAACATTGATTCCATCAACGCGCCATGGATGACTCGCATTGCAAGTTAGTGGATTTGTTTTTCATGTTCTACATGACAGCATCCCAACGATTTACAACGTAGCTACATAGGTCTGGCCATTTAGTGGCCAATGAATGCGTGACCTTGATGGCCCAAATCTGTATCTCATTGGTTTTCATTTTGTGCTAGCACGAACTCAACCAATCGTTGGAAACGCGACCGTAGATATGCTTGGAAAGTACTTCCTTCCCGTGTCCGAACGTCTTCTGGAACAGGCCTTTGCCGTGCAAAGTCTTGAACGACGTCTAAGTGAGAATTTATCACGATAATTGCCATCTCTTAACACCGCTTTCAGCAAACACTGATTGGCTGATTCCTCAACTACACAGAGCTAGTTTAAATCGTTTTCTATGCCAACAACTGGTAACATTCATTGTTTCGCTTGATAAGGCAACGAGACAGACAAGGAGGGTGAATTGACGGCAGCGTGTGAGTTGTTGGTGAGGAACATGTTCGCGTTGTACCCCCTGCTCATCACGTTCGTCGATCGATATCGCACCGAATGGCTCAAACAGCCAACTGTGGAAACGGACCGGCTGTTCAACGCCGTGGCAAACCTCTTTCTCATCTGGAATGGTTCACCGGTGAGTTAAGCTAGCTGATATGGCCGTCATAGAGTTCGAGACGCGTGTAATGATGTGTTTCCGATTCCCAGACAATCAGAGTTGTCATGTGTGATTCCAGCTTGACCAGGTGTAAAAAGGGATTAAGCAGTTGCCCATTAGTTATCGGTAGCATCTGATAACCAATCAGATTACGCTCTGCGGCAGCCCTAGTCAGTGGCGTGAAAGGTGAGTCTTCTGCTGAACATTGATAGCCAATCGTATTTTGCAGAACTTCAAACGCGAAGAGGAGACGTTTGTGGGAATGCACGAGCTTGACACGCTGGCCCTCATCATGCCCTCTTCGGAGAGGGGTCAAATATCGACCGATGTGGGACCTCGAAGCCTCACCCAACAGCCCTCGAAATCGGGTAAGTATGATTTCAGTTAATTTCGACCCACATTGGGTAGTACCTTCGTTGCACCGAAAGCACTTCACAAAATATGTGATTTAGATCCATGTTTCTCCCTTTTTTTTATTCATTTAGGCAAGGCGCTAAAGAAGGGCTTTACCAGCCTCATGGTCGCGTCAGTTAAACGTCTCCTCCCAATTGGTAAGGCAATCAGATCAATTGTAATTTTTTGTAAATTGAGTGGAAAGTTCGGAATTTGACTTGCGCGCCAAAATTTCAAGAATAATTTGTAGATTTCGACTTCTCCCTCTCTTTTAACAACTGCTTCCCAACATAGCCCAATCGATGGTAGTTGCATCTCAATATCTTTAAATTTTAATTTCTAGGGTGTACGTATTACCACTCATATTTATGAGTAGCACATCGTGCCTTCCTGTTAATGAAATTCCTGCATAACTAATTGTAGGATTATGTGTATTGGGCGGAAAACAGCAGGAATTGGTCCAACGAGCGAAGAGAATGCTTCTCAAGGTGGTTCATTCCTCTTTTTTAATGTTACTTTGTATAATTTCAACTTAAAAGCACATAACCAATAAGATCTAAAGTTTTAACCTGCCCTTTTAAACTGACTTTGATATCATCATGAAACGACCTTCAAAATTTGGAAGAGCAACACAGTCACTATTAGAATTATCGATCCATAGCATCAAGTTCAATTTATGCCCTGATTTTCTACCTCTGTTTTGATTGGCTCTCTCCCAGCCAATCATATCTCGCTTCAATCAACTCATTAATTGAAGCCACGTTTCTGCTTGGTAATACATGCGAATGCATTCTAATCCCACTTTGACCAATTCTATCCTTCATTCCTTACGCGCAGAAACCAACGACATCGGTACTTGCCCTCCCATTGGTTTGCTAAATGCTCTGCATTTTCGCAGCGACCAATCCACTGCCTTGGCTGCTTTAATCCTTGTGGATGTTTACTACTCGTTTTATTTTAGTACTTATTTATGTTTGTGCCCATTTTGTTATTTTCGTACAAATGCGACTGACCTTCTACTTATATTCAGCACACTGACATCAAAGGTCAATTGAGCACGTATTTTGCTGATGCTCGCTGGAAGGTAACCAACTTACTTCCCTCAAGATGTTGCATGAAAAAACAGCCATGAGGCGATATTTGAGTAGTTGGTGCAACTGAATTGTGTTTGTCCCTTAGTTTCCGTTACTAGTTTACCCTTTGCAAATGCCGATCGATAACGGGCAACTTTTTCCCCGAAATTTAGCATGAAGTCGAGGCTGACATCGTTGACTACCTTCGGTTTGCACTCGACAGAGACGATGATGTGAGTATTGTGATTGACATGAGAAGCCCTCTTGGTGCTAAATACACGTTACTTATAATCGTTAAGTAGCTGCTCATATTCCCTTTCGTTTTTTAGTCCGAGATGAAGGGTTATCGGTGGCAGAAACTGCTTTACCAGAAAATCGATAGAACAATAGCGCAGACTGGGTGCCACGAGGCCCTTGGCGTCTCCACCAAGGACGAAATTATCAATCGCATCATGACCTTGGCCAAGGTCATGCATGCCCTGTACCTCGTCAGTGTACGTCTTTCATTTTTGCTCTTACCTGTGTTCTGTTCACTTTCGCCTTTTAATCAATCGAGAGCCGACTCGTTGAGGCGAAGTTAGCCTTCTTTGCAGGTTGAATCGGAGCCTATATACGTATTTATCAACTATATTAATACTTGCTACTTTCATGTAAATAAGTAGTAATGAAGACAAAAACCATTTTTTAGCATGTGGTGCCCACAACACTAAATCGTGGCGCGTGGAAGAAGTTGGTCTCGACACAACGCAAACGCGCGGTGATGGCGTGCTTCCGGATGCAGCCCTTCTATGCGTTGCCACGGCACCGGGCCATCAACCACTTCCTGATGGCCTACCACGACGGTTGGCTGAGGTACGAGCAGTCGCTAGGTGTGCAGCTCATTGAGGAAATCACTTGCGCCTCGGGTGAGGAGAACCCGTTATCGATTACCACGGGGGCCCTGCCGATCGCGGCTGCGCCTATCGCTGGAATGGCTCCAAGCGCCGGTGGTGGTGGTGGTGAAGGTGGTGTTCCTGGAGGTGCAGGCGCGTCCGACGACATGGACGTCGTGGCCGCCATCTCAAAGGCCATCATAGAGGCTTCCGCGTATTCCGACTCTTCAGACGAGGGTACGACCTTGGTTTGATTGGAAGCGTCTCGAACAGTTCCACTAAAATCCCCGCCGTCCATTTTAGACAACATTTCCCTCAGTGGAAGCGGAGAAAGCGCTGGCGGTGGTGGAGGCGGCGGTGTCGGCGTAGCGAACGTCGGACCAGCTGACCAATCAGGTGGCGGTGGTGACACTGACAACACCCAGTCCTCGGGTTCACCGCACTCAATCTTCGCAACCGACTTCTGCGCTACGCCAGATCCACTCAGACAACTCATCACTGCACTCTGCCGCACAGCCATGGAACAGGCCTCCGACGACCGACTTTATCTGGCATTCGCACGAATCATGGCCAAGGCATGTCACACTTTCTCCCAGTCTAGTACTAACACATCAAAAGTGCATGCATGTCTTTCCTTGCATTACCATCTTGATATTCGTTGTGTCCTTCAGAGCTGTTCAGGAAAAGATGATGATGAAGATAGTGGCGGTGGTGGAGACGAAGACGAGGACGAAGAAGGTCCAACTTCCCAGGTTAGCGACCCCTTCCCTTGTCGACATTCAATGACGCATTTTTCTTTTAAATTAAAATTGACTCTGAATTTGTAGGAACAGGAGGAACAAAAGCAGAGACTGTTGTTTGAACAAAATCGCCTTTCAAATCGCGGCGCAGCAGAAATGGTGCTTCTCCAGTTGGCTGCCTCCAAAGGTAAAAGCTACTGGCGTTTAATAAGTAGTATGAATTTAACATCATTTGTCTCAATTGATTCCACTCGGGTTATTATTGTAGGTGAAGCTACGCCAGTTGCGATGGCCTCTGTCGAGTTGGGCATTGCAATACTGCTTGAGGGGAACGTTTCAGTGCAGAATCGGATGTTGGCGTACCTCGTAGAGAAACGACTGACAGGCTTCTTCACCAGTGTTGCCGGTCTCATGCAAAACTGTTCCGTCCTAGACTTGGACACTTTTGAAAGGTTAGCTAGTTCAAAATAAGCAATGTCACTGATATTTTCTTTTCTGGTTTCCTGACCTTTTCCATTCAGCCAATTGGATAGTCAATTGAGTGCTTGCCGGATTCTCTCATCCCATTGGACAAATTCACAAGGCATAACTTCAACGCACAATTTGATTGGCTGCCTTCACCTCGAATTACCACAAATCAAACGAGACCATGACTCAATTTCTAATTTGTGATTGGTTGATATAAAATTGGTGGTGGTGTGAAAAAATTAATTAGGGTAGATTTTGACGTCGTGTTTCTCAAATTAAAAAGTATGCTTTTCTTGTTTAAATAATTTAAAATTCATTTCGATGTTTTGTTTAGATGTCGAAAAGCGGAGGGTCTGGCCGTAGGGTTGTCAGATATGGAGGGAATCACCAACCTCTATGATGCTGATTTCACTTGCAAAATTTTCCGCCTCCTCCAACTCATGTGCGAAGGCCACAATTCAGGTAAGTGTTTGCGAATGCACGCGTTTTGCTTAAACCGCTTTTTAACAGCAAAAAAACAGCTGTTAATCGGCAACGTATCGGTCGTTTCAGCATTTCAGGACTACTTGCGGACGCAGTCAAGCAACACGACTTCTGTCAACCTAATCATCTCCACTGTGGACTACCTACTTCGCTTGCAGGAGTCAATCATGGACTTCTACTGGCACTTCTCTAACAAACCCGTTATCGACGACTCCGGTCGAACCAATTTCATTAAGGCAATTAAAATCGGCAAGCAGCTATTCCGCACCCTCACTGAGTACATCCAGGTGGGTTGAATTGGCGCGAACTTTGGTCAGATTCGTAAATCAGCGGTTTTTAGCGCCCCCGGTGAGGCGGTGTTAGCGAGTGCATTTACGGTGACGTCAGCAGGCATATCGATCGCCTGCTGACGTCAGCATTGATCGATTTTTCGAGCAAGGTGCGCGCCTTGTCAACTAGGCGGCGTGGCGTTTTCAAATTGGCGCCATTTTCTACGGGCATCGATCGAGGATGTGATCGGCAATATTAGTTCAGTTTGCGATATCCTGACTGACATTTTTTTCTCTTTCCTTTGCGAATTCCAGGGTCCGTGTCAAGGTAACCAGCACGCACTGGCAAACAGTCGTTTGTGGGACGCCATCTCGGGCTTCTTCTACCTGTTCGCGCACATGCAAGACAAACTGAGCAAGGATCCTGAGCAGTTGGACCTCCTCCACGAGTTTCTCAACCTCCAGACGGAGATGATGATTATGCTGCTCTCCATGCTGGAAGGTAACGTGGTGAACGGCAGCATTGGCCGACAGATGGTTGACACTCTGGCTGAGTCATCAGCCAATGTTGAGGTGAGTCTGCAAATCGACCAATCAGGTTTCTGGAGCATCGAACCGAGCATGTTCATTGGCTGAAATGAATGAAGTGGTGGTGTTGAATACCCGAGCCCTAGTATAAACAAGGCTGGTACAGCAGAACAGGCTTTATTGACCAATCACAAGCCAGAACCACGCGTCAGGCGCCGTCCACCCGTGTCTACCACGCTGGTTGCGTCGCTCATTATATACAGCATCTCAATCGTGTCTTTCTCTGGTTGGCTGCATATCTTCCTCGCATGCCATTGGATCGCCAAGAGACAGAGGATTGGCCGAGGCTAGCGTAGTCCAATATGTCTGCGCCCCTTAACCAGAGGATGTTTAGAAACAGAGGGGAATGTGTCTGCATGAGTTTTGGGTCATGTTGATTGATTTAGCACAATTTTCCTCACTCTCTTAGCTAACACTAACATTCTTCGACATCTTCCTGCGAATGAAGGAAATCACCAACTCTGACGCCTTTCTGGTGAGTTGCTTTCATTCCTGTTTTCATCATCTTGTGTGCATTTGAGTGGGTTTCCTCACTGGCGGTATTTCAGGCTTTCGATATCAACAAAGATGGCTGGATTTCGCATCGCGAATTTCGAACCGCCCTCGAGCAACAGAAGTCGCTGACGGAGTAAGTTTGTTGCCTTACCTTCCCTCCTAATTCCACTTTATCGATTACTAATGGATTACTGGTTTTTTGCCATAGGGAGGAGATCAACTACATCATGGGCTGTGTCGACGCCAATTCCGATGGCAAGATCGACTTCCAAGAGTTCACAGAACGCTTCTACAACCCTGCCCGACACATTGGCTTCAATGTTGCCCTCCTGTTGACTAATCTGTCCGAACACATTCCCGGTGATGTGCGGTAAGTGCTCGTAGCAGTTTACCTCCATGTAAACATCAGCCGAGTCCTCTTCGTCCTCCTTCACTGTCAACCAATCAGAAGCCTTTCTGCTTTCCTGGTGGTTGAGCACATCCAATGCTTGTGAAGCACATTCTGAGAGCATGCTGATTGATTGGGGTATTTTAGATTGGAGCGTCTGCTTCAGAAGGCCAAGGGCATGCTGGAGATGTTTGATCCCCTCCTCGGACGCATCGAAATCACCAACAAGGAGGGTCGCATCGAACGGGTGTACTTTGAGGTACGACAGGAGAACATTGACCAATGGGAGAAACCCCAGATCAAGGACTCCAAACGCACCTTCCTGCACTCCGTGGTAGGGGAGAGCGGTGACAAGGAGAAGCTGGAGTGTTTTGTCAACTTCGCTGAGGACACCATTTTCGAAATGCAACACGCCCAAGGCATCAGCGGTGACGACGAAAACCTCCAGATCAGTCGGGTGAGTGTTGGGATGCCTTGGAAAGATGTCCTCGTGGACTTGGTGATAATGTGCTCCCGTCGTCGTAGGTTGTTGCTGTTCGCAACCTCCTGGAGGCCACTCGCCTCACGTCTTTCTTCGCATTCCTCGGAACTGTGCTCTCCTTCTTGAGCCCGCACCATCTGTGGAAGTGCTGGATTTCTCTACAGCAGATGTCTCTTGTCGATCTGATCGCGGATATTCTTGGTCTCATAATTGGACTGATGATCGGAGCAGTCCGTGTGGTGAAGGGCATCCTGTCAATTTCGGCCCGCTTCGTGGTTGCCATGGCCTCAGACCCCAACGCCCCACCACCACCACCGCCGCCACCACCTTTCGTGGCCGTTCGTCCGCCAGCGTCGACCATGTCTGCGGGTCCGCGGTTTGCCACGCTGAAACCGGAGCCTCCTGCCGACACGGAACTCAAACCACCCGACCCGGTAACAGCCAATGGCAATGCACACAAGCACACTGACCTTGCGAGCATTCTTCAGGTAGGATTTCTCATTGGTCGGGTCTCTTCCTAACGCTCGTCCATTCCTTAGATTGTAGCACACACCGCAAAACCCCGTTTCCTTTCGATTCTCGTCAATGTCAGGTTAAATTCGATATGGGATAACAAATAAGGTACTCCAGAGGCAGAATAGGCGGATTGTTTGTAAATAGTTCCGAGTTCAATTAAATGATTTCCGTTTAACTCCTCAAGCAGTGACCTTCGTTCACTGATTTCATTGCCGGTCGTGTGTCGTTCATTTAAAAAACGACAAGCCGCTGTAACTGGTTAGACGTCATGCCGACATCGCCGTATCCATCAAAGACAACAACCATCTTAATTGTGACCGTAGTGATGATTTCGGTCAGAAGTAATTCCGGAATTTGGAATAGATGAGTCATCAGACGTGGCTATCTGTCATGAATCTACCACCTCCTTGGTCAAGTAGATGCCTAGTTCGATTCGCAACGATCTCTGCTACTTTGGGTTTGAATTCGGTCAGCTGAGGGATTGTGGAAATCGATTTTGGTGTGCAAGCGTCGTCTTACTTGAACTTCTAGCTGAACACGAAGCAGTCAAGCGATTCTTGACGTTGATAACTTTCTGCACACGAGTTTGATTTTGCTTGTGCATTCAGGAAAAGGAGTGTTGGCTGCTTTCGGAGGAGGAACAGTTGTTGTTGGAACGTGTAGATCCTTCGAAGGTAGAGATGATCGTCGGGGAACCCGCCAAACCCTCGTCTCCTGGAACCTCTCGGACGGCTGCTGCTTGCAAACCATCAGCTTCCACCCGCGGCAAACCACCTCAAGGTACATCCAACCAATCAAATTGCGGTATCCTTTTAAGATGATCAAATCACTGACAGAAATCTGTATTTAGGTGGGTCGCACACACAGCCTGCGAGCAGGGAGAGTTCAGAGGAGTCGGTTGTCGTGGAACAGAAGCCAATTCCAACGTCCACCTTCTTAATCTCGATTTTCGCTCGAAACTTCTACCGATTCAAGCTATTCGCCCTGATCCTAGCCTTCATCATCAACTGCCTTCTGCTCTTCTATAAGGTATGACGGCATTCCCGGTAGATACGACAATCCCCATGTCACTGCCCGAATTCGGCCAGCCATCTAGACTATTTTAGCGTTTCTACTGACATACTTTCAGTATGTGTTGTGTTTACATTTTTTTCAGATTGAACGAATAGACACCAACGGTGATGAGGGTGCAGACGAAGCGGTGTCTAGCTCCATCGTCTCCTCCATCACCAACACCGTCTCGAACATCGCCGAGTCACTGCGTGATCCCGGACCGAGTGGAGAGGCCGACAGGCCGGACGAGGAGTTCATAACGCTCGCTGAATCTGCCTCCTATTTGGGTCCACTCCTGAAAGTGCTCGCGATCGCTCACTCGATTTTGTCCTTGAGCATGCTAGTAGCGTATTACTTCCTCAAGGTGCCGCTTGTCATCTTCAAGCGCGAGAAGGAGATTTCGCGGATGCTCGAGTTCGAAGGTGTGTGGATTGCAGAGCAGCCGTCAGACGAGGGCCTACGCGCCCAGTGGGACAAACTGGTGCTTTCGACACCCAGTTTCCCTCACATGTACTGGGACAAGTTTGTGAAGAAGAAGGTTCTGAAGAAGTACCGTGAGCAGTACGACCAGCGCCAGATCATGCGACTGCTCGGCATGAAGGCGGGATGTAGTGGTGCTGGAGGAGGAGGTGGTGGTGTTCGTACCGACGAGTGTTCAAACTCCTGGTGGTATCCAACCTGGCTGCAGGAGCTTGACCTTCAGTACCTCCTCTGGAAGTGGGGCGTAATTTTCACCGACAATGTGAGCCTTCCCGGGAACTTTTGTTGCTCTGTAGTCACTGCTTCATGCTACAGCAATGGTTTTCCTTGTCGTTTAGTCATTCCTCTACCTGGTGGTATACTTCATCGTCTCGCTTCTTGGAAACATGAACTACTTCTTCTTCTCCTGCCACCTCCTTGACGTCGCCATCTCCTTCAAGACCCTGGCCACCATCGTTCAGTCGGTTACGCACAACGGGAAACAGGTGAGCTGTCTTGGACCTTGTCAAATTTCGTCGTACTGTGACGTCGTTAAGTTTGAGCGAATGACATCTCAGTTGCTAGAAGGTATTATAACTGGTTAAGATATCTGTTCGCGTGATTTCGCACTCTTTCACAACAGCCTACCAATGGGCAATATAAATCCGTCAGTTTAACCTCCTCTTTGTCGTCGTTTTTATTTTTTTTTTGTATCGAAGATAATCGCCATCTCTAGCTCTCGGTTTTTGTGTAAGAAAGAAGAATATGAGTAGGCGATAGCTGCTCTGCCAACTTTTGCAAACTCACGCCACGTTTAAACCATCGTGTTCCACAGCTCGACGTCTATTCAATACACTACTATTCTCTTATATTCGGGAACCTAACAATCATCGCTCTCATTGTCAAGTTTTCCGCGCAGTTGATTAAAATTCAACCTATTTCAACCTGAAATTGGTCTTCAGTAGCCTAAATGTGCACAATTTAGTGGATTGCGAGCAGATCAAACGTTATGTAGATGCTTCTTGATGCGGTCCAGCTACGTACTAGGTGGCCTTTAATGCTTTCGAACTCCAGCAAGATTAGTCTGTAGTGCCCTACAACGGAGCCGATTATGTTGAGAGACCTTTAACGCGCTCTCTTTTAACGTTGAATTTTTACGTCCACAGCTCGTGCTGACTGTCATGTTGACCTCGATCGTCATCTACCTCTACACCGTGATCGCGTTCAACTTCTTCAGGAAGTTCTACGCCAAAGAGGAGGACGGTGAGAAGGAATACAAGTGCAACGACATGCTCACGGTGAGTTAGCTAGTCCACTGCGTCAAGACATTCAGCTGGTCCAATTAGAGTTGGTTTTGGCTCGTCGACAACCGACATCGAGATCTGAAAAATCGTCGGCCAGCGCCATCAGACGTACTGTAGGCTGCCTCTGTGCTTCAGTTGTGGTGCAGCATCTGTCAACTCAATGGCTAGTTTGATGCCTCTTTTTAACCTTCCAGTGCTTCGTCTTCCACCTGCACACGGGACTCCGAGCGGGCGGAGGCATAGGCGACGAGATTGAACCACCCGATGGCGACGCCAACGAGGCTCTGCGCATCATCTTCGACATGTCCTTCTTCTTCATCGTCATCATCATTCTGCTCGCCATCATCCAAGGTCTGAGTGGCCTTCAGCACCTGCCTATTAAAACTGTCGCCGCGCCTTTCGAATTTAGCCCCACGTTTTACACGGGTCACGTTGTGAAGTATTTGGTTTCCTATTAAGTGAGAGTAATCGTAGCATTACCAATATTGGTTGATATCGGGGAGTTGACACGTGCAGTGCGTCCGACTAAACAAGCCCTAGAGCCGTGAATTGCCAATTTAGGTAGACTGTGTAGAGTTTTGAGGACAAACCGACTTTATGCCTCTCCCACACTGCAGTAGTCAGTTGGCATGACGACAGATTAAGCCAGAGCCCAAACAAGTTAAATTTGACGTTTGGCTTCGATGCCTCCGCCCTAGGTCTGATCATCGACGCCTTCGGAGACCTGAGAGACCAGCTGGAACAAGTGCGTGAGGACTTGGAGTCCAAGTGCTTCATCTGTGGCATCGGTAAGGAGTACTTCGATTCCACGCCTCATGGTTTCGATCGACACGTGGAGAGAGAACACAATTTCGCCAATTACATGTACGCACTCACTCTACGCCCCCTACTGTATCCTTGTTCAGTAATGCGCAACCACACACACATTCTCCTCTCCCTTCAGGTACTTCTTGATGCACATCATCAACAAACCAGACACCGAGTTCACTGGTCAGGTATGGACTTCCAAGCCATCTTTATGCTCTGCTTGCACGCACTTGACCGATGTGTCATCATATTTGTTGACCAATTGCATGTTTTGAAGATGCCTAGTAGCCTTAGCAGCCACGGAATTCCGATGTCATGTTTAAGTTGTTTCTTCTACAGTTGTAATTTTGCAGCAAGAGAAAATCTTTTCTCTGGGAACCCAGATTTTGGGCAGCAGCAATGACTACTCCGCCATCTCAAGACCATCTACTGACATCTGATTGGTGATCTGATTTTGCGTTCATAACATCTTTCTCATCTTAACGGATGAGTATCCAATTAGCAGTGGTCGATTTGAGTTAATGGCAATCACTTTAGGTCACATTAGCTCGCTGTTAAGATTTATCGTGTCGAAACTGGTGGTGTTGGTGGTGTCGGTGGCGTTGGTCAGTTCTGAGGATTGGTGTGTTTTCTTGTGGGTGCGTAATCATGTTTGTTTCATTTTTTCCCATGCAGGAGACCTACGTGTGGGAGCTCTACCAGCAGCGGTGCCTCGACTTCTTCCCCATCGGCAACTGTTTCCGCAAGCAATACGAAGAGGAGTTGCAGGCCAAGTAGTCGCCTCTCCTCCCTGCCTCAACTCAAACGCCTTTCGCTCGATCAACACCGACAAGTGTGCCTTTCGTAGCATCGTCGCAACCACCGCCTCTTCTGTCGCGGAAAGAGGGGTGTTTCGTTGAGACCTACCCACCCGCCCCCCTCCCCAATCAACCTCTTCAGTGCTGACACGTAGATTTGAGCGTCTAACCGGTTTCCATGATAGCCACCTCTTTCTCGCGCCCGCTGTTTATCGCCTGCCAATTGTTATTTCCCAAATACAACACACACACACACACATGACAACACGGTGAAGATAGCATGTTGCATTTCACACTGTATTGTGCGTGCCTTACCAGACGCGCATCGAATCGAGATTCTTGTTATTGCGGCTTACGCAGACTCGCGCAGACAATCCAGGTTGTTAGTGGATTAATTCGACGTGCGTGTCTGAAAGTTGCGATTTACGAGGCTTCTAAGGCCTAGATATCTCTTAAATGTTGATTCCGCCACGACCTGTGTGTGCTTAATCGCGCCTAACACAATGTGCCAGGTGTCAGGGTATAATCGCTCACGAGAGAAGAGGGTCTTTTTTTTAAATTCGCAACAAGTAGCAGCAGCTTTGAGATGTTCCAATCCACCAACCCTAGAGTGTCTTAGATACGTGTTACAGTTACCTGATCATTTGCAGAGGGAAGGACTTACAAAAGTCAAAGTCTTGTGAGTTCGGCAACACGCCAAACCAGGATTTCATGGGGTTCCTAGCCGTTTCACTGTACTCATCAAACAGGCGACAAGCCACTGAAGAGACTAGACCAATTAGGCAGGTAGCCATAGGTGCGGAGATTACCAATGAGGCTAGAGTGTGAAAGCAGTCATATTGCCGCAGTATCGGTGTCTGCTATCCCGTTGGGCTTGAAGATTAGAGCTAGTCTGAGTGGTTACTAAGTGACTTTAAAGACATAAAGAAATGACCAGACTTTACACTTTTAATTTAGTTGACGTGAATGTGGTCATTGACATCGCATCAGTCCGTTTGAATGTGGTTAATGAATGGCATAGGCTCGACTGACATGACCGGCTAGATCGAATCATGATTCTCACGGTTTGGCAATGAGGTTGTAAGAAGCGTACACCTGATAGGTTGGATGGCTGAACAGGCCCATATGTGGTGGCACATCTTAGCCGAAGCGTTATTTTCACCTACCTTCGTGTAAGGTCCCGTCAATCGATTTGCCGACTCTACGTCTAGGTAACACTCTGACCAGGGCTTACTCTGTCCCCTCAACAAGCACTATTGATACGACTTGGGGGAATTTTGTGTGATATTGGCTGTCAAACATTCGACCTGGAAGCGCAACCATCTTGGACTGTCATCGTAAACACTAAGGGTTCCCACCAAACCCCTGGTTTTTGCAAATCCACCCAATTGTGCGTGGCTTCCATCGCGCTCATTTGCCTAACACTCGACACGTCCACTAGACTTCTCCCAACTCTGAACTGTTTTCGTCATTACACCGAAACATTCACGCGCTTCTGAACTCGGATTTCTAATGTCCGTGGTGTTTTACTGCAACGTGAGTTATTTCGCGTAGGCAAAACCTGGGGTGCATCAATTTGTTGAAAGCGAATGTGTAGGGGACTGTTTTAACCAATTACTAGTTTGCCGGAAGTATCGAATAAGTTCAAAATGCTGACTTACATCTACTTTGGCACCAAGCCACGTGGTCCGAGCAGTGCAGTACCGTAATAATCGCCGCCATGATGAATCGAGTCACGCGGACGATGGGAGGAGCCACGAGGTCGGTCAGTGCATGCTGTCCACACGATCGCCCAAATGACTCAGGAGCCAATCAGAAGGAAGGATGGATTTGAGGCGACCTTTTGAATGGGGGCGTTCGCGGGTAGGTGGACTCGGGTGAAATGTGGCGACTGCAAATGCTTCTGGCCTGTGTTGTGTTAAGAAATCTTGCCTTCCTCCCCTGCATTTCTTAGAATCATGTCCTGCGTATTCGACAGCGCAAGTCAACAACTAGAAATGGTTAATTGTGTTAATTAGTGAGAATTGAGAATCCATTCGAGTTAGTGAGGAAGTCAGAATTCGTTGTTTGCCAAGAGCCCGTTGGATGTCACTGATCATGGAAAACGAGGAATCGTGCAAGGCATTTGGGGTTCAATGGGCCTGCTAACTCAATGTTTTACGTAAGCTATCAATGCAATCTCACTGGTCTCGCAGTGTCACCACTTAGGATCCCGTGTGCACCAGGTGGAACGCCACAGCCTCGCCTAGTCTTGTACGAAAAGAGCAATTGCTTAGAGAGTTGCCTAGCTGAATGATCGCTAGAGAAACGGCCATTTGAGCTTCGGCGGGATGGTGTTGCTGATAGAAGGTTATAGTGGCTTCGACTGTTGCGGAGTTTCATGAATCGCCCTTGCCTCAATGTCAGTGATTTTCATTCTGGCATTCTAGATTTTGTCCAAGTACATCACGATAAAAAACGCATTTGATCATTGTCGTTTGGCGTAGATTAGATGGATGCACGGAATTTGACAATCAGCCAGATCCAATTATACCGTGGAGGCGTTGTGTTGTAGTGGAAATTAAATGCATATAGTACAGATTAGGTGTATAGTAGCAAATACGCATGAAAATTGTACCTCAATCTCAATACTCACCACACGTGTATTAGCCACGTACGAACGTCTTGGGAACCGATTGAAGCTCACTGCTTGATCCAACCCAGCAGTACGTGGTGCATCTTGGATCATCGCTTGATGTTGAAAGCCACTAGAAGGTACCCCGATAGTTCCATGCCTCGCAGAAGATATATAACACATTGGTTGAACAAGTTAATCGTTGATAGCGCCAGATCCCTTTAGGAACTGTATACTGGCGTCCACGCGAAATAAGCTGGTTTTATATAATTTCTGGTCCTAACCAGCTTTCTCGTCAGAAATTGGCACCTTCGGTGATCAATGCGCAGGTTGTATGCAAAAATATGGCCCCCTGGTTGACGATTTTGGGGTTCCGAGCAAAGAGCCTCAAATCGGTCATCACCTAAGGCGCATCGTCCATTTGCGGCGGCACGCATTGCTCCTAGTAACGACAAATACCGCGTTGGTCAGTGATGCCATAGTAATATTAGATGTGTCGTCTTACATGCAACAGTCAACATACATACGCGTGAGCAGTTGATGTGACGTAAAAATGCGTCCACAGAAAGCGTTTCAATGAACAGCATTCACTTTCAATGTCATCAACCGCATTCACTGCAGTTAAAGTACATTAAATGCTATGAAATTTGGATGAATCGTTTGGTAATTGTTTAACTATTTTTTTCTGCCTTGTGTCGTGAAATCTGGACAATTCTGGGTAGGTAATGAAAAGATTTAAAATTTTCGAAAACTAAAATTAAAAAAATTCGGGGTTGGGCTGTTACAGTTAGGCTTTTTTTAATATATTTTTAGCAATCACTATAGACACTTTAACTCAGTCTTAACATTACACAATATTATCCTGGACCAATAGGAACGGACCTGACTACAAGGCAGTTTGTGCAGGTTAAAGCACATTTTATACGTTTGTGTTTTGGTAATTTTACCTAAAAAACACGAAAAAAACAGCTGAAAAATTCTAAAATACACCCAAATTACTACAAAACTGCAATGTCGAAATACGTTTTTGACCGACCTGCCAATCACCTTTGCGCGGAGATGAGATTGAATGACACGCGCATCATAGTGATTGGGTGATTTTCTGCCAATGAGGACCTCCAACCCCCATATTTAAACCCCCTTCTCGGGCAGCTGTCTCACTTCATGCTCACCAACTCGATGTTGTCTTCGAAAAAAAAGCCGGATTTCTCCATTAGGTATCTGCTCTCACTGGATGACGATGAAAAAGCAGAGTCCAAGGAGGTGACGGAGACCAAAGCGATTTCCAGTTGTGGTAAGCGAACCGTCCCAATCCTAACCTGTTATGAAATTCCATGGCCAACTCGTTTGTGATGCTTCTATCTTGCATTATTTCCTGTCTGGACTTTATGCATGAGTACCGTATGCGGACTCCCTTACATGGAAACCAGAGTTAGCTGGAATAGTTTGACTACTTATCAGCACTGTTGCGGTTATTTCGTTGGAGTGGTTCTACTGAACAGCGAGTTCAGATAGAAGCCACTCATTTCGAGTGAAGCACGCCTCAGCATCCAGTTATGCCAGCCTGCTGGTCGTCTAGTTAGGCCAGAACGAAGCACAACTGGAAAAAGTTTTACCGCAGCTTTCTAAGCATACCCCCATTTCCTAAGCAGTTGCCATTCGCTTGTCTAGTGGCAGTGCAGCTGCACTTCACAGGTGCTTTCAAGCTATAAGACTCTGCTTCGCAGTTGATACACGACTTTACTCGGCACGCACGAGAGCCTAACTTGAAAGATACTTGCGGACGCATCCATACGGTGCTAATTGTTTAAAGCCTTTTTTAAGATCTCAGTATGTGGTCTTGAACCACTCTGGGACAACTGCGCTAAATTTGGCCCAATTACGCTACATTGATGCCCGGAAGATTAGAACCATAGATGGCGTAGAATGCTATGACTGATCTTGTGCTCTTGAATCATCGGCATTTGCCACAAGTGTTTGTTAGCACACCTGGAATAAAAACCGGTTTCGTATTGGAAAAAGCAAGGATCTCTCCACGTGACCTCCTACGATCTTGTCTGATGACAGTGAAGCTTCACTTCACAGTTGATTGTAGCGTTTTGCAGTAGTTCACGGTTTAATCGACATGCACGAGAACGTGCTTTGGAAGGTACAGTGTTCATTACCGCTCTTAGACGCTTCCAAACGGCGATAACATCGTTAAAAGCTCTTGTTTCGCACATGTGTTAACCATCAAGACAATCCTCCTGCTCGCACTTCAAACACCACGGAATCGGTCTAATGTCAGATGGATTAGCGCTTCTCTGAGACCACCTCGATAGTGTCAATGATGTGCAAAGCCGTCTAAACTAGTAGACGTCAGGTTTGACATGTTAACTACGGTTTACTAATTGTGCTTACTCTAGCTGAAACATCGTGTTGAAACACTCACTAAAGTGTCTAGTTACATGATGTGCCAAGCACGTTCGTAGCACGTGTTTTTTTCGGTTGGTAATCCGCATTTTAATCTAGAAAATTCGATTAATCGGTAATACTGCAAGGAATTGAGCAGTTAAGGTTGCGTCGATGGTGCTTTCTGCAGAGTAACGGGTCACGTGGCAAAGCTTAAGCCATAGTCATCCAATGCAAATGGGATTAGCACCTGTTTGCATAAGCCGATTCAACCTAGATACACTAATCTGAATTGAATAGTTTTAGTACTAGATTATGTCAATGCCCAATCAATGGACTAACATACTATAAATAAGACCCTAGTAATAACTCAATAAGTTTATGCAAACTAGTTACGATATTTGATGTCGATGGTAACTTAGACTAAAGCACACAGTGAATGTGCCGATGCAAGTGCACGGACTCCCACGTGTCTGCTTAATTCCTCTTCCTTACTCAAGAACCCCACCGGTTACGCCAACATGTCTGAGAAAACGGTCTTGCCCGTCTGTTGTTTACGATTCCGCACTCTATCCTCTTATAACAGCTACTTCTTTGAAGTCACTCTAGCCTAACTCGCGTCCACTGATGACGCGTGATGATTCTTCAGGCCTTTTGACGTTTCCTCATTTGCTTTTCACACATCGCTAAGAGCTATCTGGAGCAATCTCTAATTACATATCAGTCTCTCGGATCCTACAACACCATACCTCGTAGTTCGTATCGCTCCCACGTATTCCATCAACGATCCAAGTAAACACCGGCCAATCAGGTATCGGGGTGTGAGTGGCACTTCAGATCGATTAGTGGGGAATCGCCGATAGAATCGATTGCATTCCTCTGCCACTCATTCCAACCTTGTATACAAGCTGCTGTTTGTGTTAACGACTCACCAGGTGCGAGCGATCTTATCTGTTCCCCTCCCTCAAATTGAAGGGGAGGAACATTAACTGATAAGTGCCCAATCACGTGGCTTGTCGGGGAGGGTGAGGGCGGATACTGGTCAATAGCCCCTCCTTTGTATCCTCCAATCTTGGAAGGCTTCTTATTTGATGCCTTCCAGTTGTGCCGATCGCCTCTACCGACACGCACAAGACTAGTCCAAAACTATCGTAGAGTAAGAATGTAAAGTGAGTGCAGCGAATAAGGAAGGTTGAATTTCCATAGCGAAGGGGCCTAAAATACGTGAACGATTGCAGTATAATTCGTAACAGTCCATCTCTAGAACAGCTTTTTTCCTTTAACGTCCCTTTAGGTACGTGAAATGATTACCTATCTTCACCAGTCAACAGATTAAGTGTCATAATTGAACCTGGTTGACCTCAATCATGGCACATTTTGCAACATAACACGTTCAAAACCTCGCATTACATCGGTTAATGGCGCGCAGTTGATTGTAAATCAGTGTCATTTAATATCTGTGTACTCAGACAATTAACTGACACAGTTAAAAGGGTCTCTAGTTGATTACAGACTGGTACACCGAAGGGCTTGAGATGGTTGAGCGAAAACTGATAACATCTCGATAGAATTAGCACGTTCCTTTCATCAGCACTCACGTGTCTGAGACGTTTCTTTGTCTCGCCACCTCATCTGACAGGATTCACTCCAATGGCTTTTCTGATTGGTAGGTGAAGGAAGACCCTCGTCTAGTTTTAATGACACCCTCGCGTCCGATGCACAGCAAGGAGCAAAGAGATCATCTCCCACACTATCCCTGTCTGAGCACCAATGGGTGGCGATTACACCGGCATCTGACTACTCACATTGGTCCTCCAATTCTTCGCTGTTAACATGGTTCGAACCTAATAAATTTGGTAAGAATGACGTGTGTCCTTGACTACTCACTTTTTATGCTGAGCTGGTTTTATGACTTGACAAGTGGGCGTTGTGAAAGACTTAGCAACCAACAATTGACCTATTTTAAGTGCCTGGACAATCACGTCAATTCGAGTGGTCCTAACAGGTTGAAATCACGTAGGTCTACCCCTTCACACAAGTGTTGAAGTCTCACGCTTGTGGAGTTGGCGAGATGGTTGAAGGTTTATCCTTGCCGTGGGAGTAAATATATTCGGCTGTTTTGTTTCCCTCCTCAAGCTGGTGAACCACCTTGTCAAACTGCCCCTCTTGATCTGAGTATGAAGAGGTCGCCTCAGCAGGTTGACATGGCGACCATCCCCAACCTAAGTGTCCTCCCTACCATCGTGCCTGTTCCGGCCATTGCCGTCTGTCTGCAACCGCCCCAAGTCTACACCCCGATGGTCCTGCCCCCCAGGCAAGCCAAAGTGGCTGCCGTGGAGGCGGCGACGGCAGTGGCTGCTAGCGAGGCGAACGAACGCGACGACGTGGAGAAACCGCGGAAGAAGCGCGTCCTCTTCACCAAGACGCAGACCTCGGAGTTGGAGAAGCACTTCAAGAAGCGCCAATACCTCACTGGGATGGAGAGAGAGGTGCTGGCTAGGCGAGTCGGACTTACGCCCACTCAGGTTCGTCTTTACTTAACTACAGCTAACCGATCAGGTGAATAGTGATGATGACCACCAGCCTTTTTATTGTCCATTCAGGTGAAAATTTGGTTTCAAAACCACCGCTACAAGATGAAGCGGTACGGAATGTTTAGGCCCCCTAAACCCGAAGTGATACGTCCCACCCTCGCCAACAACAACGGTGCCATCAGGTGTTTGTTGCTTCGCAACCGAAGCAAATTTAGGTCGCTGTACGCGCGTTCGAGGCTGGCGATTTCGCAAACGTCCAACAAGTGCACCTCGGAGAAGCTGAAGAATTTTTTTCGGTCGGTTCTGGCGATATCCCTGCACCGGGGTATCTATCAAAAAAAAGACAAACGCCAGCAGCAATGCCAGCAACAACAGCAGCAGCGCGAACCGATGCAGGTAGCTAAATGTGAGCCAAATAGTCCAACGGACCTCTCGATGAGCAGCAGGAGGTCGCGTCCAGGCACTAGTAGCCGTTAATTCCGGTGTTTTAGTTTGTTCAACAACCAAGCCCTGTGATTGTTTGATTTCGTGGTAGTTTCTTAGCATCTGAGTTGTGAGGAGACCTTAATAAAAACTACTTTTGGACCAACGAACGCATTTTCGGTTAACTCGAGTGGGTGGTGCTGGTGGTGGTGGAAACTGTTTGAATACATTCTGGGCGGCATTGTTCTAGCTAACGGTATGTCAGCTGGGCCAAGCCGTTCCCAATCACGCTAGGTAGTTGGCAAGACGGGAACGTTTGAATGATCTCAGGCGATCTGAGAAGACCCTAAGCAAGGAGACGTGTTCCCATTAAGCCTTCCGCTGATATGACCTCCTGTTTGAAGGATCAGATTGTTAATTCAACCAGCGGGACATGAGCCTCAAAGTCCATACGAATTGTCACAACATTTGAATTAGTAAATACGAGAATCCGACGACCGTATTCTGCACGGAGTGAAGAGGTAAACGCTGTTTTTAGATGAGTAAATGGAAGTGCTATGAGAGAATGAATTAAACTTCAAAAATTCGAAACCCTTGTTCCAAAGTGTTTAAATGATGGGACCATTTTACCAGATAGCAGATGCGTGTTTCATTTAAGAATCCAATTTTTAACTGACAATCATCCACATGCCCCCTCGAGTCAGCGTAACCTTGAAAAACACCTTATTTAAAGTTTTTGTGAGTTTAGTGTTTGTATTTATAGTGAACAACGGCAAGTTTCATTTTCGTCGTGTTCTCTCACATGACGGAGAATCAGAAAGCGTGTTGAAACTGCAGCAGCAAATTATCAGGAGGTTTATCTGGATCGATTGCTTGCTGCTAGAGCATGAACCAGTGGTTAAGTTGATTTCAAAATGGTTAAACCAGTCTTCGAGATCAAGCCTTACCCGTCAGTTAATGGATACACTTCTCTCACGGATTGCACTGGAGAGATTAGTGTGAGAGGGAGGGACGAGCATATGTTGGCAATCTAACTGCGTTTCGCTCTTTGAGGCGTCTTGGATCCACCCTGAAACCCGCACGTTCTGGCAGAACACAACAAACTGAATCGTGCTCCAGCAAATTTAACCATTTTGGGTTAATTCAAGACTAACTGTGGTTAAGAAAGGAGAGGTGTAGAAGTGGATGTCAGGCCTCATCCAATGAGAGTGGTGTTTTAAGTCTGGTGCAGGGGATTCCAGAGTGTGTCTTTCACGATCTCCTTTCATGTGGCCAGCCAATCACTGCGGAGAGTAACTGCGAGCAACTCACTCAATGCAGTGTTGGAATCCAAGCTAGATTACATGCCACTGAATAGACAGCAAAACTGGGGGATTTCACGTGAGAAATCTGTCGTATTATTTTGGCGTGTATCTACAATCCAAACTTCTCAGTTACCACAGATAAATCATCGCTTGATCGTTTTATGATGCTTTGAAATAGGCGTGTGTTTCAAATGCGCCGCAAGCGGTCTGCTGCGTTTGCAGCGTGAGATCATTCAAACAATCAAATCCTCGAAATAAGAGGCCACATCAACCACCACCACCACCCACCGAGGCTTCCGTAGCCACCGGGTCTAGCAACTCAAACATGTCGAAGCAAAGCCAATCAGCCAATCCACAGACGTCCTGTCTTCGCATTGGCTGTTTCCACACTAATTGTTTTCGCTTACTTTTGTTCCCCGACTCGGGCATCCCACTTTCTTGAGATGGTTGGCACTTAGACTGGGCAACAACGCTTCCATTGTTTCTACCAATGTTGTCGTAAATGGACTCCGCTCCACGGTAATGGCATGCCCTCAGGCAGACAATAGACTCATTACATATTGCTTCGAAAAATTTGAGATCACTAATTGAAAATTCCTCGCCCTGGTGAAATATTGGCACTAATTTTAAATCCACGAATGACTAGGCCTTAAAATTGCGTTCGCTTGGTAAAGAGCCACTTACCACAAAAAAACCAATTTAGAAAAACGTTAATTGGTTAACGATCCAGGACACTTTTAATGAATGCTTAACGCGGGTTGCTTAAGTGTTCGAAGGTGATTGGAGATTCCTCGATATTCCAAACACTTTAAATCAACTGCCAAGTCTGAGTAGATGAAAGTGGTGTTGGAGGCGTGAAAGTGTCAAGTGGCCGGAAAATTCTTAATTTTAATTTCGCAAGACATAATCTAAGTGATCACCCAGTCTAAACCTGCTTGCTGGAGGCCTCCTAGTGGATTTTCCTGCAGTTGAACGTTATTTAATCAATCCCTTCTGCGTGGAAACATCTCCACAAATTCAGGTAGGTGAGAGAGCAGTTTTATTGCACCGAACACGACGCAGACTTGAGGGCATAGGTCACAGAGGAACTGTGCTAGTTCCTTGTTACGACGTGATGATCTGGGTGTTTATTAGTGAATTTTAAAGTGCCTAAAACGCCTGTTATTCTATCACGTGCATCTACAAATTCCGTCTGTATAAATTTAAGCAGAGTCCAAATCACGAGTTAACCTGCAAAGATTATTCTTGATTGCCTGACCTTACGAACTCTGATGACGATGATGATGCACTGGTATAGTATTTTTTAACTCTTTAACGTCTAATGATCCACCTGACTGTTGTCTTGCTGCTGAAACATCGCTCTCCTTTGATCAAAATGCCTGAAAATTAGTCACCTCTTTCTCAAATTCATCCTGGTAGCATGAAGTTGGCGAAGGACCGAGTTTGGGCTCATAAACTGTTTATACTTCGTGGCTGCTGCCTGTATTTCTCCCCTTGCCCTAAAGCCATGCCGTGAACGACTTGATGAAACTCTTGTTTTACTTAAGTGTGTAATCGCGCGAAAGTCATAAAACTGTTCCGTTTAATGCATCTTCCTTCTTCCACTCTGCGCCTAAAAGGAATGACCTCAAATCCACGTGGGAGTCGAGGACGCTTGAGTACATAAGTGTGGGAAGTAGTTTAACTTAACTGGCCGACTTATTAGTCATCGTACGCACTGCTCCACCGCTAGTACTCCAAAAAATGCCCAAATTCAAATTACTGTACACATAGTACTCATTTTTAGTTAGTACCATATTTTAACACCATCGAGAAGACCAAGCTGGCATCATATTTGTATTATTAAAACCGCATTCTCGAATGTCGAGTCACTAGTATTGCACAAATTCCATGGGCCACACGCACGATTCTCAGCCTGTTGGAAGGAGACAAACACATAATTGCTACTAGCAAATAAGCAAGTAGAAAGTGCATTTCATAAAATGGAACTCACGTGAAGGGTCAGCCACTTCAACGTGATGCTGGATTTTTTGCTTCTGTATTAATGTAAGGAAACTGGCTAGTTCGCCGAGGTACGATTCCAAATTTAGCACGTTGTGATCAGCAACACTTGGCGGTGCTAGAACCTTCGATTCCTGGTGACGACTTGTGTCTAAAACCGAAAGGGGTCCACATCCACTCAAAGTACATTTTATATTTTCACGCTTCGTGGTTTAAGGTCTTGCGGTTCGAATGGAGTCAAGGATACATTGGGACCTGTGCACAAATAAGCGCCCTCTCAGGCACAGATATGTGGATTCCAACTTTTGAAAGAAAGATCCAGTTAATGTAAACAAGCTGATATGCGTTTGTATGCGTGGGAAGAGTGTCATGGTGTGGATGGACTTGTAGTGTAGTGTCAGCGATCGCGCGTGAATGAAGCCTGTCTACTGACCTGACGGTGTCGATGACTCATCGCCACTTCATTGGTCGCCGCTACCAGACGCCTGTCATCCGCTCACTCATTCGAACACCAAGACACACACTTGACTGGCGTGGCGCTAATAAACCGTCGTATCCCCTGTCGCTCACTTGACCAGCTCCGACGTTAGTCGACATCATGGAACAGGAAGTAATTTGATTGGTCGCCAGTTTGCAAAAGTTAAACTTTAATCTCTTATTTTAGCAACTGAAAAATTCAACTGTACAACTAACTTTTGTCCAGAACTTAACTCATCAAACACTTTAGGAAACGGACGGGCCACAATTTCCTCAATTCGTAATTCAGATCTCCAGCTGTTTGCATTGCAAGTCGCCAAAGACAATCTAGATCTTCACAAAATCGAATTCCTTGACGCTATTTTAAAGCCTTTCATGCCTAAGATCAAAATCACGTGACCTTGCGCCCGTGTACTAGTCCTAGCTACCAGGTCATAAAATTCTCGTGGCAATTGGCTCCTGACGAAATTCAACCACGACAATTCTCGGGGCAACTATCGCGTAGTTTTCTGGCCCGCTGAATAGACAAGTGTATGTATAGGTAGAAATTATGGTTCCAGCTTAAAGCCGCTTGGTGTTATTGTAAGAATAGTGAAAGCACGCACAAGATCGGCCAAGACGACGTACCTGGCTTTGCGTCGTACTGCGCCGTCAATTCAAGAGGCATGTTTATCTCGGAGGCGACTTGATGAGGTCTAAAATGCAACAGACAGGCGTAAAATCCTGTCCCATTCGGCTTCGTACTGACACAGCATAGTAACCCCTGGACGTGGCTCATAAGTTCCCACCAGATTTGTTGTTTTACTGATCTTGCGGCCATTTTGAATCTCAAAGTTAACCCACTTGCAGTCGGCACGCAAAAATTGTAATCAAACTCGAATTGCAGATTCGTTTGGTCTTGGGTGATGCCTTCGTGAACTACTCAAACGACCACTCAAGCGTGTCAGTGTTTGATTTCATTTCGTTTGTGCTGGCTTATTAAATTATTCTTGGCTGGAAAACTACAAATTACACCAGACACAGTGCACTCATTTCCCTCGTTCGTCATCTGGGACAGTTTCACTGTGTTGAATGTCTTGAGGAAGCAGTAGCGTGTATTGTTCTCGGAGAAAAGTACACTAAGTTCTTCACATCCACAGTTTACAACTAGGCCCTGAATCGTAATGCAAATCAACTCCTATTTTGCTGGACAGAAACCACAAACTCACGCAACTCCGGTCAAAATTAAGTCAGAATGTGTCGCGAGGCCTGGCAAGTGCTTCTTCCACAAGAACTCCTGTGGAGTTGTGGTCAATGAATTCTCTCCTGGCTGTTGAACCACCGATGGAATGCTGCTTAGCAAGGCCTCGGGTCGTGGAATGGTTGGACCGAAGGTGACTAAGCAGTCATTGGTTTCCGGCACATCTAAAGCACAATGAAAATAAAAAGTTGACTAAGGGTTTGTAAGTTTTCGGAACAGAATTTCAAAAACGATTAGTCCAAGCCCACTTGATTGTGTTTACAACTAGCAACTTTCGCGATACTGACTAAACTCAAACACCAGGTGAAGTGAAATTGCTCTCTGAAACCATTCATTAACAGTAAATAGATGGCAATTTAGCCGACCAATCATCACCCAGGCACTGGTCCACCAATTAGACAAAATCCAACCAATCAGTGACTCACTCTGTCGTGATTCGCCCAGATTACGGTCAGTCTTCTCCTCCCCCATTGGTCGGGAATTCTCGAAGGATGGTGGTCGACCGAGAGAAGCCATTGTATACGGCGGTGGAGGCAGAATATTGCGTGATTTATCTGCCACCCCTGGGAGATTAAAAAACGGACAAATCAACGAGTTATGTCGCGTTTTCACTTTTCTGAATAGAACCACATCTTGAAGCTCAAAAATCTGGATTGGTAATCGTGAGTTTGATCCTTAGATTGTCCAACAGGCAGGAGACAGTTGAAATGACCTACACGATAGCCGAAACCACTCGAGAACGGTTTGAGGTGGGAGGTTCAACAACTGCAAGACGCTCAAGCCTCTGACCCCGGCATTCGAGGGGAATTCTAGTCGAGGAAGCAGCTGCGGCGCGAACGACGTCTCAAAGCGAGGAACTTTGGGGGTGAATACCGCATTTCCACCGGCGACGGTGTTGGAAATGAGTCTTTGGGAGAGACCTACACCGTCTTGGAGGTAGAGTGGCATCGCAGTGCGCTTCGACGGCCTGCCTGGACGAGCGCTGTCAAAAATGTCCATGTAGTAGTTTTACCAAAATCTACTTACAACGACTTCAGTACCGTCACCGGTGTGATGTCTTATTTAAAAATTATTGAAAAAAGACACATTTGTGGCCTCCCTGTGTTACTGTTTAAGGACTATTACAGTAGTTTTGCAAACTTCAATTCCATGAAAGCGCTCCATGCAACATTTAATTGTGAGGTTATGTTGAACTAGTCACTTAGTGTTGTTAAATTTTAAACCAACCAATCAGATGCACCGGAAACGACCAATACTTGGATAGCCATACCTCGAAAAATGAGCCGGGAAATTTAAACGGAAAGAAGTGCACAATCGGAGTTTGCTTGAAATATTTGGAGCTGATTAAGCCAATTACAAAACAAGCTTGAAAATGCTTGTCAAGAGTTAATCAATGTTTTTTAACAATGAATTATTTTTTTGAGAAACGCTTATTATGCAAAAGAAACTAGATGATCAGTGGTTGGTGATGGCTCTTGCCACACCCTTCACAGCAACCTTGATTTTAGCAGATCTCTCTGATGTTTAAGTTATGTGGGTTGGCTGAGTAACGAGCAGCAGACATCCAAAACTGTTCAGTCTCCATTTGGGGTCTGGAGAGGGGCAAGAAGGAAGACCAAAATGGGTGAAATTGTTACTCTCAAACACCCACACACACACACACAATGAGGTGACTTTTGCGGACGATTCTGTAATTGCATTTTTCGATACATTCCTCGCACACGTTCGCGCAAGTGTTTCTGAGTATCCATTTCAAATTTAATTTGATTGAGTCGTCGCTGAAGCGTCGCTTTCCAAAACTCGTGCCCTAAACGCCGAATCGTGAAATCAGAACGGTCAATGTCGGGTACACAGTCGTTTAGGCATGTGTGTTTGTGCTTATAGAACACTTGTGCGTCAAGCGACCAATGAGGTTTAAAGGTGAGTGACAGCTACCAATCAGTTCGAGAGTGTGCTTTACTATGCGCCCGTGAAACACGATCTGCCCCCAACGTGTTCTCAGGTCGAATTCGTACTCCAGACCACGATTCAACAAGAGACGAAGGTGCCACATCGAAAAGATACATTGGCTGCTCATTGTTAGGGAAATTTGCTCACTTGACTAGTTTATTTCTTGAGGCGTTTAATGCTTGGAGGAAGTAATTAAAAACGGTACAAGTTTTAATCCGCATGGATTACGAATGCAATTTAGCACAAATAATCCACTGACAGGAGCGTGCGTGCCTCTAGGGTCGTTTGTTTAAATTATACGACATTTGAGGCTTCTCATCCACTCCTTCCCCCCCCCCTCTTGGCTCCCAGTAGCATTCATTGTTTGAGAATTATATTGTGCGTGCCTTCAAGAGTCATGAGTAATGACTTAAAATGCTAATTAACTCGGTAGGCTTTGGGCTTTTGGAGTGTTTAATTTAAATACGTCATTTCTGAGCCTAATCTCTGAAATGCGTGGAAATGCACAGACTTGGAGCAACTTGATTCTGGATGGTAACTGACATGCCGACTATTGTCAACCCTCAGTGTTCTCAAATTTCAGATGAGAAAGCGAATCAATCTGTGACCGATAAAAGCCAGCCTCAAACAACCCAATAAGTGAAAGCGTTTTGTTTGTACCAACGCAAAATGAACAACGGCAGTAATGATTACCTAGAAGTTGTGCAGTCCGCATAGAGTATGTCGAATTCCCTTGGAGCGATGAGTTTGCAGCGATTTACGCCAGGTTGGATGGCTCCAAGTCCACGGAGGATACGCACCTGTTCCACATTGCAGACAACCGGCTGGATCTCGAGTCGTTTTAACTTCGTGTAGACTGTGTGCAGGCCGCCAACGAAGTGTTTGAGGAAGAGTTCAAAGGCCTGCGGAAGGCAGATCAGAGCGCCTCTGCCTTCGACGTTGAAGGCGGCCACTTGGGCGCCACGGTATTCAATGAGTTGGACGTGATTACTGGAGCTTGCAGAGGGATGCATTATGGGCGCCTGCATCCTAGGGAATTGAGAACGCGTTCGCTATTTCGCCTAGTCTCGTCTCAGCTCCCCCCTCTCCCAATTGCTAGCGCACATACTCAAGTGTGCGCACCAATAAGAAGCGAGTATGAACTGACCAATCAACGAACGTGTAGTGTACACTAACACGCTGGGCGCCTTTAATGGTACAACAAACCTCGGAGTTTTGGCGTGAGGTGATTGGTCCATACGGCGGGTAGAATCTTTCAATTTTCAGTTGTAATGGGCTGAGGTGTGGGTAAAAAAATTGCAGAAATTTATAGGAAAATTAAATGAAAGTTTGAAGGAGTCAATCATTCGTGATTTTATAAACCGAAAATGTGATTAACCTAATTAAACACGTGAATTCGGCGAATATAGCTTATAAAATGTCTGTGACCACTTTTGCTTGGCTACAGGACCTGCAAGCTATCTGTACTTGGAAAATTACGATGTCCAACCCACACGAAATTGTTCGGATAGCTCGTTTAAGGCAAATGCCATGCTGAACTTAATTCAGAATGCCTGCGTAATCCATTCGTCGTTGACAGACAAAAGTTACGAGTTAAATGAGTGGATATCTGAAGGGAAAGTTGGAAGCTAACAACTTCAAAACTGTTGAGAGAACTTAG